ACGCCCGGCGTCTCGGAGACTGAAGAACGGCGGAACTCCCGCCATGACGCTACAGGCGGGATCTCCGCCCCGAAGACTGCCAGCAGACACCCGGCTCACGTCCGCCAAGCCAAGAAGGTGCCAACCTCCCCGGGTTCTGACTCCCCCACCTCCAAGGAGGCTGCCTCCAGTTCTGCGGCCCACCAGGCCGCAGCAAAGCCTCCTCAAAGGCTCCTCAAGAGGGATCCAAGACGGTCCCAAAGCTCCAGAAGGTGGAGCGGGAAATAGAAGAAGAAAGCTGCCAAAGTGCGGGCAAAGAAAGAGGCGGCAGTGGCGGAACTTGAAGAACGAAGCAGTAGCTTCCACAAAACGGAAGCGAGAAGCTGCCGGAAGCCGCGATCCGGACGCCGTCCCGGCCGAAGGCAACCCTGCAAGAAGACCGAAGAGGATCAGGAGGGGCAGCTTCCAAGCACCAGTGCAGCGATCAACGCGGAGATTGCCGGGCACAGGAATGATTATAGTTCTAGCTGCCGATTTTCTTAATCTTGCTGCTTGCTTTTTGTCACAGGAATGATTAGTTCTAGCCACAAAATGATGAAGAGAAAAATAGTGCTATCAGTGACGCTTAGCGGAGGTGCGCTGTTTGCTAGTTGAAAACTAGTTTAATTTCCGTCAAGTTTGATCGTCAAGGTCATTCTTGCAAATTTTACGTGGGCTGCAGCCCAACAACATTGCATACTGACTAGTGACTGGTGTAGCTGCTGTTTCTGGACGAAACTCTGCTGCGTGCAGATGGTTTTGGCAGCTGCATGCATGTTGCAACGGGCTGCTTTGACTTTGACTGCTGGAAACTGCTTGCGCGCGTCGAGAAAACGGTGGAACTCTGAAGCTCGATCCATACATGGGAGCTCTGAGCTCCAACGAAAATTGCTGCCGGCGGAGCTAGTTCGGTCTACTGCTTCGAGCTGTGGCACACCACACAATGTTTGGAACTTGCTCTGATCATCGATGCCAGAACACTGCACAAGTATGCCCAGCCAAGCAAGAACTAGAGCTTTTTCGGGTTGAAAGCTTGCTAGTGCCACACTTGGTCAAAGCTAGAACCTACAGTTCCGCTTTTGTCTGATTTGAACAGGAAGTTGCAGGCCAAGACTAGGTTTATTGAGCCATCTTCTTTTCAGGAAGAAACGAAGTCGGACTGCAAGAAAGGACCTGCAAAAATCGTCGAACTGCTTACACAGCCTACAAGAACCAAATCATGGCTTGCAAGAAAAATACAGGTTCTGTATAAACTTCGCGGAAAGATGTGCTCTTTGCAGCACAGAGTGGCTTCAGTAGAGAACCTGTGAGCGGGATGTGCGCTCTTGTGTTGACACGCCTGGCCGGTCAGAGTGGCACTGCGGAAGTGCTGTGCCGTGAAAGGCAGGGCTGGGAACAGCGAGGGATCAGGCGGAGAGGTTGACCTCCATGCTCGCGGAGACAGTAAACTGCTCGACCCTGTCAGACGAGCTGCTGGATCTCCACCCAACACTAGCCAGGTCACCAGGTTGGGAAGGGGCTCGTAGAGGGCCGTTTACACCACTCCCACCCTTCCGCACCACGTGCTGAAGGTGGATTTGCCAGATAACCACGACCCGGAAGTGACGGCGTGCGGCAAGCGCCTCCGCATCCTGCCACGCACAGTGTGCAGGTTCTACACAGAAGACAAGCTGGAGGTGAAAGAGGAGTCTGCCTCTGCGGAAGGGTCACCGAGAAGCTGCACCCGCTAGACGTGCTTGCGGAAGACCCGATGGGTAGGATGTGCGACTACTGAAGGGAGACGAGAGGTTTGGCTTCTCTACAGCTGGAGGGAACTTTCTGGTACGCGGACAACAACATCCACAATGAAGCAATGGCGTTCACTGATTGATGCGCTGGAAGATTCTTCCTTCTTGACCATGCGGCACGTTGAGCAACATTCCAATGGGCGGCGAGATGGCTCACGACGTCTGCTGCAAGTCGCAGAGCTGCACGAGCTGTCTGGTCGTAGAAGATGGCTCAGTGCATTTTGGAAATCATTCTGCCCCACTGAGACCCAAACTGGTATCCGGGTCATACCGATGGAAGGATGTTGCCCTGGACTTGGCTGCGACCTTTTTTCAGATTCAACCCGCGGATTTCTTTTGGAAGACGTGACTTACCTTGCGGCTGTGGGGGGAGAAAAGAGCTTGGCTGATGCCTCTGATGCTCCCTGTGGATATGCAGCGCGGCCTGCCACATGCAATCTTTGTGGGAGAGGTCATTCGGATGTCCGCCTACTCGATTGCTCCTTTCCATCTTTTGCCTCCATTGCCACCCGTCTTGGACTTTGGACTTTGGTGTGCAAAGAAACAAGACACGAGGGCTGTCCGTTGTTCGACGGAACTAGAACGGCAGCCGGAGTCTTGGACTTGGACTCCACTCGTTGTCTTGGATGGCTTTGGATGCCGATCCACTGTCGCCTTTGCTGAGTCGCTGAGCGGGCCCCTTTTTATTTACTGAACAGCTCGTGCTGACGAAGTCCGCACGCTGCAGCAGGTACGTAGCCTCGCTTGCTAATTATTCGGTTTCACCGCTGTTTTCTGGGTGTTTGTCTGTTTAATCGTAGTTTACTGGGACCGAGTGCTGCAGCCGCAGCCAACGACGCCCGCTGACGCCAAAAACAATCTTGACCAGGCGTAGAAAGGCAGTGAACTGAACGGCTTCAGCCGAATCTGCTGTTTGCCTTTAGACTCTTGTGCTCATGTTTTCACCGCCGTCTTGTTGGTTTAGAGAGTGCCAGATGCTTGCATGAATGAATGCTAGACAGCTTTGGTTTCGTTTTAGTTGTGGAAATGTTTGATTCAACAACTGTTTTGGGAGACAGTGGCAATAAAGCCAAACGAAAAGCCGGTTCTGGGCGTAAACTGCAAAAGAGCAGCTGCGGCAAGCTAGGTGGAGCGAAGAATTTGAATCCTCCGATGGTGCAGCTGTTTTGCGAACACTCTGACTTTGATAGGCCTTCCGACCGATCGCGGAGGATCTCCGGTTCAATGTGGGGATACTTGCAGCTTGGAAGCACGCTGTACTGAATTTACGCTGCGAACTGGGTTTGCTTAGGTAAGAAGGGAGATGATGGATTTGGCCAGCTTTCGACGCGAAGTGGTCGCAGATCAGAGCCAAACATGGAGCAGCACTTGCACGAATGAGAGAACAAGTCGCAGCCATCAGACGTGAATCAGCATGGAGAAGACCAACCAACTGATTTGCATCAGAGTTTAGTGTTTCGCAGCAAAAATTGACTTTGCGTGAATCCTAGCTTGCTTCGTTGCCGGTAGCTTCCTTCCAAGATGTAAGACCGCGGCTGGCCTGCCGGCTCATCAACGCGCGCCGCGGACTGGCCGTATTGGTTTGCCCCATTGACTGCGCTGCGACTAGTCCGACGGGATTAGAATGGCTTCCGGAGCTTGGTTTGGCTTCTCCCTCTGACCGGATACCCAATGTCGACTTTTTGCTGCCCTGAGCAAACGCACGTAGCTTGACCAGATTTCATTTTTTTTGCATTTGTCTGTGATTTCGTTACGGACTGATGCAGCTGTAGCGTGTAAAGGTGGTGCAGTGCACGGCAGTGTCACGGGATGCTGCCGCATGGCGCTTTTTTCAGTTTAATTAGTTTTCGACCGTGCACCATGGGCCTCCGAAGCAGAGCTTTCCATTATGTCTGAGCGCGTTACTTGTGTTGCAAAAACCACTTCGTGATGTTGTCTCTGCACCGTGGCCTGGCGATCATATGTGTTTGTGAGTTTCTTCGTGTAATAGCGGTTCAGTAGCGTTGTGTTTTTTGTTTTTGCTTGAGTCTTTGGGTTGGACATGCTTGGCCCTCAAAGACGACGTACGGCGAAGTACGCATGCTTTAAACTTTAGGTTTCCGTCGCTGGGTCACCTCGTAGCGTCAAAATGTCATTATGTTGAATGAGGTCAAAGCCAAGACAGTCTTTCTTGAGGGAATGGCATATACGCGCTTGCTTGTGGACGTGCTGCGAGCTGAAGAACGTTTCGATGGATGTTGGCGTCGCAGCATGGTCGGACAGCACAACAGTTGTGGTCGGAGGCCTGGCGCCCGAAACGTTAGATGCAGTATGTCGAATGTAAAAAAATCCTTTCGAAGCAGAGAATGCCCTCACAAGCTTTTCGGCAAGACAAAGGTGGCGTTTTCTGAGTTGTGGCCCATTGTGCCGAACTGTGGTTCAAAGTTTCCGATCGGAGCAGGCGACTTGAAATCCTGAAGCTGCAGGCTCTCTCTGGGAAGGGTGTTCCAGCTTTCTGCTCTGTGTAAGCAGTTCTAGCTTTCCACTCCGTGTAAGCTTGGAGCCGTGTTTCGAGACATACACGAAATTTGGTATCTGGAAGGTCGATTTTGTAGCCTGCCGCAGGGCGCGGAATCAGAGGGGCTCTGAAGTCCTTGCAAACTGGGTGCACGCGGGGCTGTTAGGCAGCGAGCCGTCGCGCTCGAGAACTGTTAGGCAGCGAGTCGTCGGGCTCGGAAGCTGTTATGCGTTTCGGAGCTGCTGGGCAGCGAGCCGGCGCGTGCCGGCTGAGGGGCCTTCACCCAAATGCAATTTAAGCACTCCGATGAAAAAAAAGTTCAAAAATCAAGACGTTAGACATAGTGGAAGGGAGAAGTGGAGTCGTGCACCACCAGGAGATGGCTTAGTTCTGTTGGTTCATCTGGTGAAGAAGGACAGGCATCGAGCTTCAGAGTTTGACGAACAGCATCTTATTGCCCAAGGAAAGATGGACCATGAGTTGGAGTTCGTACAACTATGAGCCAGTTTATGCTGTCTCACGACATGTTCGTGCGACATGTTGTGAATGTGTTACATCTTGCTCGTAGAACAAGCTTGAAACATGCAGCCGTGGCTTGTGCTAGATTGCTAGATTTGCAGACTCGTGTAAACTGCTTCAAGAGTCAGCGGCGCCCGTGAATCATCGGATGCGCCTACCGTCCACAGCATCATGGTGACATGAACTTTCTGGGCAAGATCCATGAGTGGGGTCCTGGAGTTAGAGATTTTTAAAGGTGTGCTCTGCGGCTTCTGTTGCGACGATGCAAGACCTGTTGAAGAAGGCAATACACAGAACTTTGGAAAGCGGTCATTCGACCTCCACGCGATCATTATGAGATCAAGGATCCTGCTGAAGGGCTTTGTGGATGTTTGGTATGCATGTCTTCGAATTTTTGGTTTGTTTGTCAACAGCCTCCGTGTTTCAGCTGTCAGAGTTTCGGAAGGAGAGCTTGTGGTGCAAAGTGTCATGTTTTCCCTCACTTGGGTTGCTGGCACGGCCTTGTCAGGACCTGGGGCCACCAGTTTTCAGCATTGAGCCATCTGCTCAGAGTCCTTGCAGGACCTTGCAGCAAAACGCTTACATGCAGCCGAGGAACAAAACTTTCCAGCGGACAGACATCTCTTTGAAGAACCCTCGCGGCTTGACGATCGTGTTCCCGACTCGGTGCTGCACGTGTCTTTTTTTTGTCTCTTCCACCTCAGTCAAATCAGATCACCCTCCACTCAGGTGCAGCCATTTCGAGCCCATCAGCAGGTAGGGTCAACAAGACGAGATGTGAGTTTGCCCTCATGCCACTTGTCTTGTCTACAGTTTTGCGAGGGAACGGCCAGCGGGAAAGCTTCCGTGCGTGGTTTATCTCCATGGGAACTGCAGCAGCCGGCTCGAGGCGCCAGCAGGTGCACAGACAATGTGCACGGGTTCTGCGTTGGGTTAGAGCATGTCATAGGCCGTGAGCACGTTACCGGCGCTCTTGCCCTTCAACATTACCGCTTGAAGCTGAGAGTTTGAGATCTGCTGCGAAAATCCTCCAAGCAGTCGAAGAGGAGCTCGTTTGATTATTGAGGTCTTTTGCTTTGATTTCGCCGGTTCCGGTTTGTCTGATGGCGAGTGCTCGCTGTAGCTGTCTACTCTGTTCTGCCAGCTTGCTAGGGAGAAGCTGCAATCAAAGTATGCAATTGCCGCTGATACTAGTAGCTTCGAAACATGTGGTTTTGGCCATCCGGCATCTCCCGCAAGTAGAACCCGTCGCCGCAGGTACCTCAGTCTTGGCTACTACGAGAGGGACGACCTTGCAGTCGTCATAGATCACCTCCGGGAATCCAACCGGGTGACCTGCATAGGCCGTCGTTCATCACGCGAGAGTGAAGCCTTCCTTCTCCTTCTTCGGCTTTCTATTAACTGCCAGGCCTGTGGGGCAGGTCGATGGGTGCTTCCACGGCTTTGCTTCATGCAGATCGTGTGGCACTCGCAAGCTGTGGCTTTCCTGGTCGCTTTCTGCGCAGTCATCTTGCCACTATAGGGGATCCCTCAATCGCGGGCCTGGTTCTGGACAGTCCTTTCTCGGATTTAAAGGCACCGTCTTTTGTCAGCAGTGAAGTGACTGAAGCGTGGGTTTGGCCTGGGAACGGACGGGACGGAACGGGAGGTGCTCTGCGAGGAATTGGTGGATGGCTACACGAACAGCCGGGTGCCGAGGCAAGGCTCGACGGATTTCTCGACTTTCTCGACTTCGCCCCTGAGTCTGAGTCGCGCTCAGCGGCCAGCAGGTGGGTCATCGGCATCGCTCTTCAACTGGTGCAGAACTTACCTGGCCAGGAGGCCACTTGTGTGACCCGTGCCGAAGACAGTCTAGCTCAGCGTGGAACCCAAAGGTGCGCAATTCCATTAGTGCACATGCCGACTTTGACATCTACGACCTTGCGCCTGTCCAGCCAGTAGCTGAGAGTGAAACATTGCTGCAGCTGCAAAGAGCGCAAAGAGCCCACCTCGTGGTCTGGAGTTGTGCGGTTCCGGAGGCACGTCTCGAAGTCTTTCATCCCCGCGCTGTTCACGGCCGCGTGCAGACTCGAGGGCTCGGACAGTCTCAACATCGATATCTCCAAGTCGAGGTACAACGACCATTTCATCAAGCCTCACCACGCCAGGGAGCTGCATTCTGCGTATGCCGGTGACAAGGCAGGCTCGGCTCTTGTTGGTGGAGCTCTGCTTCGTGCTCTGTATCAGAACTTCATCATGGTGGAGGGGGACCACAACTCGGCGCGGTCCAAGTTCTTCATGGACTCAGTCTCCATCTTTTTCTTCAACACACTGCAGGTTTGGATCACAACATGTCAGTATGGTTGTGGCCCAACAGTTCAATCTTGGCAGTGTGATGCCTTGGTGGTGGACGTGCAGAGTGAGGCCGAGCGATGTCAAGGGCATGAAACCCTCAAAGTCTGTGAACATTGCTGATATTTACGTCAGCAGGCAGGCGCAAATGCAGAGATCCTTGCGGATTCTGTGCGCAGGTGGGGCTCTTCTGAGCCGTTGAATGCCGCACGCTCGATGTCTCAGTGGATGCAGGCCGCAGCCACCAGAATTGTCGCAGCCGGTCGAGCCGCCTGCCCCAGCCGTGGCCCTACTTGCCGAGCTGTTCGCGTGAACTGTTTCTTACGTGGAACTGCCTTGAGGCATCTCAGGCCTTGGGCTTGCAGATGCGCCCACCGGAGAGGTCAGCAAGAGAAGCGGATTACTCACAGACGCTGCGTCTATCGCGACGGTCGTGCTGAGGTGAAACAGGTGACAACCGTCAAGGCCAAGGCCACGTCGGCTCCAGGCTCGCGGCTCGTCAAAAGGCTGCACGCAAGGCCACGCTGTAACCCGATGCTCCGTTGCCAAGGGCCAATGCCGTCATTTCGCTGAAAACCACGAGCACCTGAAGCAGTGAGGACACAGCGCACCGTGCCTAGCAAGGACCAGCAGCTTCGCACAAAGGGCGTGCTCCCCCTATCGTGGCACGCCGCAGCAAGCCTTTGCACTCACATAAGATTATATGCAAGGCGTCATCAAATCAGAAGCTTGCATGCCGCCACATTTCGTCAGTCTGAGCATATCTGACATTGACAGCGGCCCTGAATCCATGTTCCAGTCCACAAGCACCTGAGACCTGAGCCCAGAGAGGGGGTGCCGTGCTGTTTTTGCGCCTTGTGCCCTCTAGTCCTGTCCTGCCGCCGAACTCTGGAGTGCCCAGAGTTGCAGGCCCACTGAGAGCAAACCGGAGTCTTTTGCGACGTTTGTCCTATCATCCCTGCAGGTCGAGCAACTATGGGCAGGACGTCGCTTGTGCTTTCGGAAACGGGTCCTGCACTCCTTGCTTTGCCGAGGAGACAAGATACGAAAAAGCGCGAGGCACCGAAAGCTTCGTCGAAGAAGAAAGATCCCACTGGAGGCATCCCGGTACGGCGCTGGCTGCTCGAATCGTCTGCTGCAGGCGGCCTGTGCGCTTTCTGTCTGAGGCTATGGCAAAACCGAGCGTCTGTCGGCAGATGCTCTTGGCTTCCAAATAAGGACTCCCACTCTGTTGGCTGCGCTGTTTTTCGGAAATTGGGGGCAGGCAGTGCATTGGCAGGACAGGTCCAGATGCACCGAGCAAGACCGGTGCGAGTATGGATATTGAGGCACAAGATGCATCATGCAAAGGCATTCTGTAGCCAAAGATGCTAGAAAGCAGCACCAGTGGCATCCAGGTCAGCGAGATCGTTGTCTTTGCTGGGAAACAGGCATGTTGTGATTCTTTGTTCTGCTGGCTCCGGAGGGCTTGCTTGTTTACCTTCACCAGGAGCTCTTATACAATGCCACACTGAGACTGGCGCAGGGCCACAAGTGCGCCCGTTGTGCTTGGACGCCGTGGGTCTGGCTCACAAAGTAGGGCTGCATAGCCTCTGGGTCCTGGCTACATTCGGTGAACAGTAGGACCCTGTTCCAAATAGCCTTTGTCCTGCTGCCATTGCGAGGTGCATTGTATACAGTTTTCATACTAGTCCAGCTCTGTGACTTCTCTCTCACAGCATGTTTGTGTGTCCGGCTGACGCGGAACAGCCTTGAGCAGGTACGGGCTTATCGGTCGCAATGGTGTTGGCAAAAGTACGCTGCTCCGGGCCATGGCAGAGCGTGATGGTGCTGGGCTCAACCGACAGTTTTGCGTAGAGACCGTATCTCCCCATGCGCTTTATCGGCAGTTGCAGGACGATTTTAGGCTTATGTCCAGACTTTCATTCCTCCTTTGAGCACCGAGGACGTGTGCCGATCCCGCAACACTTCATGATTATGCACGTCGAGCAGGACATGTTGTTGGTGTCTGCACCACATTCGCCATATTCGCAGACGGCCCAACTGCCAGCAGTGCGGTTGTCTTCCAGGAAATCAAAGGCGATGACACTCCAGTTTTGCAGAGTGTGCTGCAGGCTGGGACGGGGATTCGTGTTGCCAGCCATTTCTCCTTGCTGAACAGCTCCAGCCGTAGCATAAACTCGGGTGATGGCCTGATATAACGCAATCATCACTAGCACGCTGGGCTAGTACAGACTTAGCACCAGTTTCGATCATACATTGCTACGGCTACGCTCTCCTGAGGCTGACCAGGAGCGCGAGTGGCTGCTCAAGGTCGAGCAGGCTTGCCTGCTTTGGCTTTTGCTGCCGCGGAAGCTTCGGCTCTGCCCGAGAAAAGGAGTTGCTCGAAAAGGAGGACGACGGGAGCGGCCAGGAGCCGAAGGCATGAAGCTGTTGTCAGCGATGCGAGAACATCTGCGAGACGCTCCTTGTCGTAAGCTTATCCAACGCAGGTGGGCGGTGTTGGATTGATGGAGGCCACACGGATGCGGCCATGTGACTAGGGTTGTGCATCGCAAGAACATGAGGTTTACGAAAGGTTGGAAGAGCTGGGGAATGACGATGCCGAGGCACAAGCAGGAAGCAGGGTGTTCTTCCGTCGCCGTGCTCCGGCCATCAGCTGAGGCTCGAGCGGCTGTAATCTTGGCCGGGCTTGGCTTCTCGGGGGAGGCCGGGGCAAAACCCTCGCCGCCCTCTTCTGGGCAAGAGACAGCAGTCCAAGGGATTTCCCAAGGACCAGCAGCGACCGACCAAAGAGTTCAGCGGGGGCTGGCGCATGCGAATTGCACTGGCGCAATCGCTTTTTGCCGAAGTCTCAGAGGTGTCTTGTGGAGGCCGCAATGCCCGTGGAGCGCGGCTCAGGTGCAGCCAGACTTGCTCCTCTTGGACGAGCCGACGAACCACTTGGACGTCCACGCGGTGACCTGGCTCGAGGCCGGAGCGGGAGGGCCCGTGTAGCGCAGAGCGGAGCAGAGCGGAGCAGAGCGGAGAGCGCAGCCGCTCTGACTCGACCGCAAGGAATTTTTGAAGACCTGGGAGAAGACCGTCGTGGTCGTTTCTCATGATAGGCCAGGACGAGTGCCAGTGCTGTGCGGTCGGAAGGTCAATGTCTGCCAGCCAGGTGCTTCTTGAACAATACTACATCCAACACAGTCTTTCTGCACCGCAAGAGGCCTCCGTTTCTGCATAGCTGTTAGCATTAGGGACCCCGCACCTGACATTCTGTGATCGGGAAGGTTATGGTACTATGGTGGTAATTACGAGACGTTCCTTCGAGTCCGAGCAGAGCAGCGGACAAATCAGGAGGCCAGGATGACAAGCTTTCCGTGCAATTCTCTTCTGAATGTGGTTTTGCCGGTTTCATTGCAGGCTATTGCGCAGCAGCAGCAAAGGAAAGTCCGAGACTTGAACATTCCTAGTCATGAGATCCGTGTCCTGGCACGACGCCTCCTACAGGTAGCGAACCTGAAGCAGTTCATTCAACGCTTCGGGCAAGGCCACAAAAAGATGGCCAAGCAGGCATCGCTTCGAGCTTGGGCAGACCGCCCTCTTATGACACGGATTGACTTGGGTTGCGGCCACTTCTCTGATTCTGCAGCCGTGACTCTCAAAGCCCTGCCTTGCCTGGGCACTCAGACGAGGCCACGACGCCTTGTCCAGCACGTACGCAGACTTCCACAGTGTGCAGTAGCATTCAGATCTCGGCGACTTTTCCACGCCCTCTCTGCATTGTTTTCTCGAAGGAAGAAGCTCGTTTGTCATCTCACAGCAGTTCTGTTCTGGAGGCGAAATGAGCCGGGCACCGCGCCTGTGGCGAATCCGGCCCGTGCTGGCTCTTACGTCTGTGGCTGCGGCGCCGCTTGTTGTCCGTCGATTTGACAGGCGCCACAGATGTGGGGACGGGGAGCCCGGGGAGCCCTGAGGGCAACTGCCTCCAAAGCCTTGGCTTTGGCAGGTCTTTCGCTGCTCGCTGCGAGAATCGCGCTGAGCAGTCGCTGGACCAATTCTTGAAGAGCAGCAAGGCAGCGCTCCTCAGCGCTGCACAAGATACATCAATGTACGTCGTGTCTGTACCACCCAATGTCTCAGCAACGACGGTCCGCATGATGCAGGCACAGCAGTGGATCGAGCTCAACAGCGACAAGTCACTTGCCTTGTGTTAAACTCCAGGGACAGGACGCATGTGTTCGTGAACTTGACGTTGTGTGTTCTGAGGTCACAAAGCTGTCCCTGGGATGCATGCATGACGCTGGCACAGACAAAATGAACGTCCAAAGTCAAGTGTCTGTGATAGCTGGTCCGCATGTTATGCATCTTTTTGCACCAAGGTTTAGTCAACACTGACTCTGTGGACTGGATTGAGACCGCAGCGGGTGGGGTTCGGCGCAAGATGATAGAAAGGTTCCTGGATGTGCATGCTTGCAGAGATGTGCAGAGCTCGTAATGCAATTCAATTGGCCAGTCCTGATCGGTGTACCGAGGATTGGTGGAGAAGTGGCTAGAGCCACAACCGTCGTCAACTTTCAGCCCAATGCTTCCTTCCCCGCGCATGTGCATAGGGGCGGAGAGGACACAGCAGTTGAAACCCGCTCGTGAGGCATCAGTTCTTAAGTGGGGACAGCCAAGACTCCTCGACCAAGCTTCCAATCCCTGTGAGGAGTTTCTGGTGTTACAGGGCGATTGGTACGACGACTGGGCCACTCAGCCGGCCTACACGTATGTCCGCAACTACATCGGCTCCAAGCATACGCCCCGCATTGGGCCGAAAGGCTGCACCATCTTGGTCAAGCTCTGCCAGCAGCTTGTCCAACTGGCTGTCTAAAACTGTGCACTGCTTTCAGGGCAAGCACGTCAACTGTGTCTTTCAGTCCTTTTCTTCTTGTGTTGCTTGTGGCATTCGTCTAATTCGGGACGGTTTCTGTCAACTTTGTTTCAAAATTTATTCAGTCTTTTTCTTCATCAACTGTGTTGTTTCTGTTTCTTGTCGCTTCTGCAGTACCCTCTCAACCAGCCCTTGCTCTACCCCGTCCCTCCTGAACCCTACACCCAGATCCCAACAAGCTCGAAGCCCAAAACCCGAACTTGGCAGCAGGAAGCCCCCAAACTCCATTTCTCGCCCTAAACAGCGAACCCTTAACCTAACGCTCGAAAAGCGCCCACCCCTCAAGCCGAGGCTCTCTGGTGTGCTTGCCGGCTAGCACGGGAAAAATACACAACGGAAGCCCCGAATCCTCTAGACCTCGTATCCAGATCCTGGCCCATGAACGTTAAGCCTACCTTTGCTGCCAAACCCCTTCCCCAAACCGAAGACCGTGAGGACCAAACCGGACCTGGCAAACCCCAATTAATTCGCCACAAAACCCAAACCCTAATCTCAACATGTTTTTTCATGCATAAATTCATGTATATATATATATATATGTATATATATATATATATGTATATATATATATATGTATATATATATACATACACATACATATCTGTATACACATAGATATACACAGATATATACACACATATCCCGTACACGCGCAGAATTCTTATCGTCCTTGCGTGGTTCCTAAGTCCTTAATCCTTGTTCCTGACCCTCAGTCCTAGCCTGTTTGTCTTAGTTTGTTGAACTTGTGGATTGGGGTTTGGGGTTTAGGATTTTCGGGTTTGTAGGATTCGGGTTTAGGATCATGTAAGTTAGGATGTAAGATGATTTAGGGTTTAGATGTTCAGTTTCGGTTTGGAATTTAGGGTTCTGGCCTTCTTCTGACTAGCCTCAGCATAGCTCTTGGCATTTCTGTGCTTGCATGCCGTCGGATGCACGGACGCACCATTGCGGAATGAGTGATTTTTTGTGGCCCCACAAGCGTTGTCCTAGAAAGTAACTTAAACGGGATAGTCTCTTTCCAAAATGATGGTTCTGTAACATCGAGGGGTTCTGGAGTGGGGTGATACGAAATTCGTCCAAGGGGGTAAATCCAAGAACAAAATCTCTAACCCGAAGCCCAAAACCGCAAGCCCAGACCCTGAAGGGCCCTAAACTAAACCCAGCCAATTGACTCAAGCGAAAAGACATGGGGTCAACAACAGAAACGACGTGATTGATCCAAACTGCGTGAGGCACCCTAAACAACGCAGCCGAAACCTTCATCCGTAAGCCCCAAACCCCAGAAAAAGACAAGACGGTGGACAGGAAAATGAATCGTGGTTTGCGTTATGCGAAAAGAACGGCCCATTGATAGGCTGGTGCGAACCAAGGATGTCCGAGCAGCACAAGGAGCCCGATCACTCCCAGTGGGATATTTCCGAGTCCAACAGAAGCTGGAGGCGTCCTGTCCAACGAAAATGCCGCATGCTTCTTTGACATTGTCAGGGCTTGCTCCTCGATCCGTGGTCGACAGCTGCTGAATGTTTTCGAGTCTCCTCTAGAGGAGGCACAGAAACAGCAAGGAGTCTTGTGCTGCTTGTAGGACGACCCATTTGTGCTGCCGCAACCTCTCAGGTCCACTTCGAGCGTTGGCAGCCCAATCAATCAGGCCGTGCTTTGGGAACTGGCTGTGCGCAGCGAGAGCCTTGTGCCAACAGGTTACGTTGATATTCCGGAGACCGGTGAGGAGGTCTTCGTGATCGAGGGCTCGTTTGCCGATGAGTTGGGCGAGCACCGCGCATGGTCCTGGAGCCGAGACTTGGTCCAAGCTTACTTTGGGGTTCCTTACCCCCTTGCGTACAGATTCCTATGCCGTTTCTCAACCGGGCCACAGGACGTTGCAGGGGTTCCTGTGCGGATGTGGGGGTTGTAGTGTGAAGGTACTTGTACATGGTTTCATTGTGTCCGCTGACATGTGGCTGCTCGTCAAACCTTTGCTGAGGAAATGCTGGCGACAGGCCGCGCCTGAAGCGCACCTCCGGCCCACAGGACCGGATTCAGAGAAGCGGGATGAGCAGGTATGACCAGAATGTAGATCCAGTCAAGAGCCCCTACGTACTGGACATGTTCCACAGTGGGGCGGCCATTTGTCAGGGCTGTCTGCTCTACGTGAAATCGCGGCACCTGAGATCGCCCGAGGCCCTTGGCCGGGCGCAGCTTTCAAAGCCTCGATCCATGTCGAGTCGTGACGTGGAGAGCCTTCTGCTGTCAGGTGGATATCGCCGCGATGCAGACTCCTGCGTCCTCATGATGTGACTGCAAACCTGCCCTTTGTGCGGTGAAACGCGAGCATTGAGTCTGTTTTTCCTCGACCTGCGCAGCGCCGCGTGAAGCATGGCAAGTCCCAGCAAAGGGGGATGCTTCTCAGGAGGTGTGGGGGTGGCCACAGGAGCGCTCCTGTGCAATCCCGCAGGTCATCGCAGATCAGGATGTTTGCACAGCCTAGCAGCGTGAGTAGCATTGATAGCATTACGCTCCGGTGCTTGACCCGTGGCAAAAAGGTGCTGAGTATGACTGTTTCTGCGGCTCGTCCCCTCAACGCACTGCAATTCGTGGGAGGCACAAAGCCGAATGAAGATGCTGACCAAGCTGCAAGAAGAAGCAGTGGCTGTAGGTGGGAGCGTCCTTTTTGCCGGTCAGGGCTTTCTTGCCTCATCGTCTTGATGTTTCCGTCTGTTGCAGACTATGACGATCCGTACCTGCAGCTGGACTTTCCAGCCGCCTCCTCTTTGCCACCTCCATGCGTGGCACCGAGATCAACCCGTGGCAGAGCAAATATTAGGACTGCGGGCCAGTAGGTATCTCGGTCATCGAAGCTGCATTCGGCTATACGCCGGACCGAATACTCTACGAGGCATGGAAACTCGTGCACTCAGAAAACGATTCGCAGACGACTTGCACAGAACCTCGACTTCGGGGTGGACTGTGACTCCCGGGTCGCAATTGTAGGGCCGAACGGTGCAGGCCCGCGAGCGAGATCTGCATTCTTTCCATGTGCACTCGTGGGTTCGTGGAGGTAAGTCCACCTTCCTCAAGCTGCTGGATGGTTCGCTGGAGCCAACCCACGGCTTTGTCAGGAGCAGCTACGCTTTGCAGGCATGCCGTGCCTGGATGAGTTTCTCACTTTCGCACGTCAGGAGACATGCCAAGCTCCAGTTGGCAAGGCACGCTGTTATGTCGCAGTGACCGTGCTGAGACCAAGCATCTGGTAGGTTCACGCAGCATCATATCGAGATGATGGATCCAGCCGATCTCCAAGAATCGTTCTTCTTCTGATTCTAAGCGCACTTCAAAGTAAAAGCCCGAAGCCTGACCACGTCTGCTAGAGGATTCTGATGCTGTGACTCACATGCGCAAGCTCGGAGCTGGTGGTATCAAGGAGGCCGCATGTTGCACTTGCAGGGTTCGAGCATCGGGGCAGTCATGTCGGGGACATCGATATCCGATATCCTTTCAGAAGGAGTATTATAATTCTAATGTCATTGGCCGCCTCGGTGGTAGTCAGAGTCCGTCGGGTTGTGGCCGGACGAGTGGCGGACTTGCGAAGGGCATACGTCAGCGAAGTACAGAGACTACAGGCAAATCGTGGTGGGTCGGATGGGCAACTAGTTTCTTACCTTGCTATTGCGCCTGGTCCCAGAGGACCCTTATCAAAGAGCATCACAGCGGCGCAGCGTGAGCGGCAAAAGTTATTCCTGGCCTGCACCCCCTTGTTTGGAGCGTCAACAGAAAGCCTCCGTGCTTGGGGTTATCGTGGCACGTCTGGCATCCACGCGGCCCCTCCTGTTAATGCCAAGGTGGAGTTCGAACCACTTCGAACCGCTCAACATTGAATGGGCCTGAATGGGCCTTTCCGCTATGATCCAAACATGTACACCCGCTGTCGACGCATGCTCTTTCGCGAATATGAGGGCAGGGAAGGCCCGCTCCAGGCGAATAACCGTCAAATCAGCCAGGGAGCAATCTAGCTCCACTGCATGTTCCATAGGGCCTAGGGGCAAGCCAGGCAGAATTTTGAGCTCATGGGCGTGACTTGTCTTTCAGGATGGGACCAGCGAGGTCACCATCGAGGAGGCTGGATTCTGCAAGGCAGGGACTCCTTGGCACGAGAGATGCCTGCACAGGCACGAAAATACCTGGGCCGTTTCGGCCTGCACGGCGACCTTGCCCTCCAGCCGGTGAAGCCTTTCGCTTAAGTTGAGCACAAAGTTACGCCCTGCCCTGCTGGAATGGGGCCAGGATGGCCCAGGGTCAACGGCGTTTCGGTCTCAGGTTCCTGAGCGGCGGCCAAAAGAGTCGCTTAGCCTTCGCGGAGCTTGCCTGGTGCGCCGCAGGGGGGCGGGGAAGTAGCTCGCGGGTGCAGCAACGCCGAAGCTTGAGCTTCTGTCAGGTCTGCTCCTCACATCATGCTCCTGGACGAGCCGACGCCGATGCCTTGCTCCTTGGAAACCCAGAACAGGAGAGAGAAACTGTCGTGCCTAAGGAACCATTTGGACCTCGAAACAATCGAGGGCCTTGCAATGGCACTGAACAAATTCGAGGCCCAGCTTGTCTACATGTGGGCCCTTGAAACTTAGACAGCCTGTAGCAAAGCTGGCAGCGACAGACTTCGCAGGGTAGCATGATCTGTCGATGGCAGGGAGGCGTGGTTCTCGTCAGTCACGACGATCGACTAGTGGGGTGCTCATATTTTTGATAGTTGCGGCAATGTCAGCCGAACTGGACGTGCTTTTGCAATGTGGCCCTGCTTTGCTCAGCTCTCCATGGTTGCAGATGAGCTCTGGGTAGTGACTCCGGGCAAGTCGAAGGCTCCTTTGTTTGAAGCGACTTGGCGGTTTCGACCTGAAGCCTCGTTGCCAGGATGTGCCTGGAAGGGTCACCGTGTTTGAAGGATCCTTCGAGGACCAAAGCTGTCCGTGAGACTCGTCTTGCTGAGGATAGTGAACTGTGAGAGGAGTACCGGGAAATGCTTCGCAATGATTTCATTCAGAAAAATCTCACAAGTGGCGGCCGCATCAAGCGAGCATCGTGAGGCAGAAATGATCTATAACAGGGCTTCAATGTTCCTAAGCACCACACCCAAAGCGCGTGTGAGGCCGGCAGTGTTTGGGACGCCTCCTTCGCAGATCTGGACGCGGTGCAGAAGCAGTTTGCCCAGGAGGCGAGCTCAAACTACATCACTGCCGCAACATGCGCCCAACAGACGTCCAGGGAACGATCCAACAGTTGTCGGAAATTTTTCGAGGGGCCTCGACATGGGGACCACCTAAGCCCTAGCATGCGTGCATTGGCGCGTCTGTGGGAGGTGCCTGGCGTTCTGAGCAGATGCACAAGATGTGAACCATGAAGCTCAGTTCCGGAAGGGAGGTGTGCTGGAGTGCTTTGCTAGATACGGAAGTCGAGAATTTTGTTAAGTCCTCGTGACACTAGAACCCACACTTCACTTCCTGTGCCGCACGAGTTATTTATGCAAGGGTGCCTGAGGCTAGCCCAAGGCACAATTTTCCACCCTTGCAGTGCTCAGGTGCATTGTTTTGGTAGAAGGTCTCACCCAGCCGGAGCTGAAAAACAGCTCCGCGCTAGGTTGGACAGTGGCCCTCTCACGTACGGTGTGCAAAGGCTGGAAGTGCTTCTTCTGCAGATGTGTCAAAGCATCATCGGTCGCACTGGTGTCAACGACGACGGTTTTGCAAGAATCTGCTTCAGTGCACATGCAGGGCACGAGAAAAGGTCCTGTCTTTGCTGTGGTGATGGACAGACTCTCCGATCCATCATGTCCTCTGTCAATTGGGGTTGTGTAAAAACTTCTTGTGTTCGATTTCTCACAAGTCCATGCCAGGCCTGCTTTTAACCCGCTCTCCGAGGACTCATCACATTCCGTGAACTCGCCCCCTTATTCGTCGTACTCGTTGCTCGTCGTTGTCGTAGTCTTAGTCTGAGTCCTAGTCGTAGTCGCAGTAGCAGAAGTGGTAGTAGTAGTAGTAGTAGCAGCAGCAGCAGCAGCAGCAGCAGTAGTAGTAGTAGTAGCAGTAGTCGCAGTAGCAGTAGTAGAAGTAGTAGAAGTAGCAGAAGTAGTAGAAGTAGTAGAAGTAGTAGAAGTAGTAGTAGTAGTAGTAGTAGTAGTAGTAGTAGTAGTAGTAGTAGTAGTAGTAGTAGTAGTAGTAGTAGTAGTAGTGTAGTAGTAGTAGTAGTAGTAGTAGTAGTAGCCGCAGCAGCCGGAGTAGTAGTGGCTGCAGTAGTCGCAGTCGCGGTCGCCATAGCAGTAGCCGTAGTAGCAGCAGCAGTAGCAGCAGCAGTAGCGATAGCGGTGGCGGTAGTGGTGGCGGTAGCAATCGCCGTCGCAGTCGCAGTTGGAGAGCAGTAGCAGTCGCAGATGGAGTGGCAGTAAATCAGATTCTTGATCAGCGGTTGAGTACAGTTGTATGCACGCTCTTAGGTGTTTAGAGCATACTTCTGTTTGAAAGCATGGCTCCAGGCAAAGTGCATTCTGGCCAGGAGTTTGTAGCTGTACGCACCTGTAGCCCTACTGTCCTTATCGCCTGACCGTGTTGTGTCGAAAAAACACTTGCATGTGCAAGTTGCTTGTTCCACGTAATGTCACGTCCAGCTCTCTGTGTAGCAGTGTCACCAAGAAAGATGAGCTTTCAGTGACTAGGCGCATGCGGAGTGACGAATTTTCCAGTTTGGGCCACATCGCAATGGCCGAGACTGAAGAGTCCCGTGACAGGTGCGCAGATCAGATCGGTTGTGGGGAGACATTTCGGCTGTCCAGCTTATGGCAGAAGGATTCGGCCATGATTGCTATCGCCAGCATGAAGGGGTGTACGTCTGCCGTTGTGCCATCTCTGGCTCAGAGGGTGCTGAATTCTACAGCACAATCCGCTCGAGAGACCGACTCACAAGGCACATTGCTTTGTCGGGGGGTGGGCTTAGAAGAGACTGCAGGATGTGATCCACTATTGTGGGCGGCTGCCAGGTCTCCCTGCAAAAGCACAAGAACCATGGAGCTTCGAGTTGGAGGAAAGTTTCGCCTTGGGCGCAAGATCGGATCCGGATCTTTCGGCGACATTTACATCGGAACCAATGTGCCCAGAAGAACTTTAAGACTGCACCAAAACCCTGCTTTGGAATCCTGTGCTCGCCGGCTGCAACCAGGTGCAGACCAGCGAGGAAGTAGCAATCAAGCTGGAGTCCATCAAGTCCAAGCACCCGCAGCTACTTTACGAGCCTCGCTGCTACACTTGCTGCTTCGAGTTTCCAAGCGCCACCTTTTCTTGACCTAAGGAGTCGAAGCTCTACAAGATCCTGGCAGGAGATGCGTCGTGATGCAGCCACCTGATCAAGGGTAGACTGGTGAGCCTTTGAGCTTCCAAGGAGGTGTTGGCGTGCCAAACGTGCATTGGTACGGTGTAGAGGGCGACTACAACGTGATGGCGGCTGGCTTGGAACTTGTAGCTTTCCGTAGTTCAATGCTGCAAATGCATATGATATGAACACATCTACGCAGTATGTGTGTGTATATACACATCTGCATTGTATTGTTGTATTGTTTTATCTTTTTTTTTCTCGCTCTCTCGCTCTCTCTCTCTCTCTTTCTTTCTCTCTTATGGGCACTGTCTTGTACATCTTTCGTAGCAATGAGTTTTGGAGCTTTGAGGTCATCGACCTGCTGGGGCCCTCGCTCGAGGATCTGTTTAGCTTCTGCAATCGGAAATTCAGTCTCAAGACTACGCTCATGCTGGCCGACCAGATGATCAACAGGCTTGCTGACGACTTCTGCTCCTCTGTTCCTTTTGAGGATTGTAGCTGTCTTGCAGTCTTGCAAGAGCAATTGGTTGCTTCAGGGTGGAGTACATGCACGCCAAGAACTTCATCCATCGGGACATCAAGCCCGACAATTTCCTGATTGGATTGGGGAAGAAGGCCAACCAGGTCCACATCATCGACTTTGGCCTGGCGAAGAAGTACAGGCCAGGTTCTTGTAGCGGGTCCACCGTCGTCCACTCTTCTTCCGCATTGCACCGCCCTGCCGCCCTGTGACAGGGATCCCAAGACTCAGCAGCACATTCCTTACAGAGAGAACAAGGCGCTGACGGGCACCGCGCGGTACGCCAGTGTCGGGGGGCCCGACGACCTGCAACCTGCGGCTCGTTGCGGCTCCCTGCGGCTGCGTGGGCTCTCATACCAAGGTCAACACACACTTGGGCATCGAGCAAAGTCGACGAGATGACCTAGAAGCCGTTGGTTATGAGCCTCGTCTTCTTTATTCTTTCCCACAGATCTCCGACTGCCGGCTGAGTGCTCCCATCCCGAAGGTACTCATGTACTTCAACCGTGGCAGCCTCCCCTGGCAGGGTTTGAAGGCAAATTCCAAGAAGGAGCACCTTGCCCATTCCAGACTAGGTCGACTCTCACATGCTTCATGGATGTCCTTGTTACCGGCCTGGCGTGAATCTCCTGAAGCTCAGGAAATACGAGAAGATCATGGAAAAGAAGATGTCCACACCCATCGAGGCGCGCAAAAGGGCCTGAGCTCTTCCATCGACTGCTTATTTGTACTGCAACTTTCCTTCTCGAGGTCCTGTGTAAGCACTTCCCTTGCGAATTTGCAACTTGCCTCACGGTTTCTTTTGCAAAGCATTCCAGCATGGCTGGTTTGGGTGTCGCTGCCGCATGAGCTCCAAGGCCACGTACCTGAACTACTGCCGCAGCTTGCGATTTGAAGATCGGCCGGACTACGCCTACCTGCGTCGACTGTTGAAGGATCTGTTCTTCAGGGAAGGCTACCAGCAGCCCGATGCAGAGAGTCCATGATTTTCCAATCCTGCCATGTACAGGGTTTCGAGCGTGCAGCACAACTCAAGGTATGACTTCGTCTTCGACTGGACCATCCTGCGCCTTGGCTTTTGAAGATCTCTTTGATATCTCAGAGGCCCAGAGCTGCAGTGCTGCTGATACGCTGCAAGCACCATCGAGGAACTACCAGTCAAAGGAGGGCGCAAGCAGCCGACGACGCGAGGCCTTCCCGGGAGCAAGGTCAGTGGGGGAACGGTTTGCAACCGACATTCCTCAGCCAAACTTCGAGTTCACGAATTTTCTGTCTCATGCAGACGTGCCCTTCTCCTAAGAACATCGTGGTAGTTGACGTAAGCAGCATCGCCTTTCGCTGTCCGAGGATGAGGTGGAAAACGGTGACTGATGCGTTGCACTGTGGACGATCCCGATATATAGCCGCTTCACGTGTCCCGAAATTTCCAGGGAATCCAATGTGCAGCGCAAGGGCGAGCAAAATGTAGGACAGGTTTTTGACACAGAGAGTCTGGCCGTCTGGTGGGCCCTGGAATCTTCGGCACTAGTGGTTTCAGCCCTGGGAATTTTTGAAAAGACGCCTAGCTCCACTTGAAGCAAAGTGGTCGGCACTGCAAAGCTGAGCTTGCGCAGTAACCTGAAGCCTCCTGTCCAACGGATGCCGGTTCTTGCAGAGAAAGCTTCTTTTCCCTTCCTTCACTCCTTGCGCTTCTTTCAGGTTGGTGCGACCAAGGGCTCTGGGGTTCTGGCATCTGAACCCCTGCATGCCCTTGCAGAGGTCACGGAAGCTTCTCAAGCTTCCTTCTATTGGCATTTCCCATCGCAGACCGACAATAATTGAAGCGAACCGACGCAAGGACGGGCGCGCGCAGCCAGCAATGAGTCTATTTACAAACAGCTCCGAAAGCTGAGGCTGGCCTGTACAGAAGTCCTGCATTGCGATTGGTCTATGGCGTCCACATGGTTTGGTCTCGGCACTGCCGAGCTTTGCCTGCTCTGCTGACAAGCCTAAAGGGCCTAAATGTCCTTTGAGGTATTTGAGTCTTAGCAAGACTCTGAAGCAGGATTAGGCAGATCATCCTAGACATGCAGCTGAACATCTTTCGAAAGTAGAGCAAGAAGCCATGGGGCGATGGTGCTGTGGAAAGCTGGATACGTTCGGTGCACCGGAAGCTCGGCGCACGCTGTTCCGCTTTCAGAGTCGAAGAGTCACGGGCCCAAACATGCACAACGTGCTGCTCCGCACCAGAAGGCCTGTGCTCTGCTTTTGTGATCAGTCGCATTGATAGAGGGAGTATTACTGGACAGCGATATGCCTCCGATATTTGGACCGCATGCGAGTTAGACCAGCAGACGACAGACCCTCGCCTTGGGTTTCACTTGCGCTCCGCTGTTTCCGCCTCGAGACTCAGCTGCCTTCTCGAGCTTCGGGGTCAAAAAATCACCAATGCCAAGATTGGGTTGCAACCGCTTTCGGGGAAGCGGTGGCTACTGCTCATGGGATGTGTTTGTGTAACGAAAGCAGCACACTCCCTGCATGCATAAGCCCGTGTGTGCAGAGCACAAGCCGCAGAGATGCTTCATGTCTTCTACACCGCGGGCCTTGCAGATGTCGTTTGATGTGCAAGTGATATGGTCAGCCAAAGCAGCATTCCTCGGATCCACATGTTTCCAGAGAACATGCCTAGCTGTGGCATACACATAGGGTCAGGTACTGGAGGGTCTGGAATCCTGGCCCCGGGGGCCAGAGAGTGCAGGGTCTGAAATCCGGGGTTCAGGATATTAGACCCTCCCAGCCCCGTGGATTCCAGACCCAACTGAAAATCGCTGGACAAAAACTGGTTTTAAACTTTTGGCCGCCGCTTCGCACTATTCTCGGTTTGGCGGGTCGCGAGATTGAACTACAGGTCCACGAGCACCGAAATGGATCTGAGATTTGTGTCCCGCGGTGCCTGCTCGTTCCAGTCTCTGGACCAAACTTGGCGTTAAGTTTTTGGCCGCCGCTGCGCACTATTCTCGGTTTGGCGGGTCGCGAGATTGAATTACAGGTCCACGAGCACCGAAATGGATGTGAGATTTGTGTCCCGCGGTGCGTGCTCGTGAAAATCGCTTGACCAAAACTGCATTCAGAAACGCAGAAACCGAGAAGCTATTAAATAACAACCCAGAAACATCCCAAAACGCAGAAACTCAGAAACACTAATTAGACTCCGAACCATATGCCGCGCCTGGATTGTCCGAGTGTGAGCGCCGAAATCTAAACGTTGGATTGCCCGAGTGAGTGTGAGCACCGAAACAAGATCCGAACTGAAACCAGCACCACACAACCACAGCCCAACCGCCACAAGGAACCGGAGTGTATCCGATCCGAAACCGGTTTGGAACCGAAAAGAACAACGAACCCGAGACTTTCCAGAGCTGAGCGGAGACCACAGCGGAACCGAAGCGGACAGAAGCAGAACCAGAGACGATAACTGGGACCGGGGAGGAGCCAGGCCGGCAGGGGACTAGCACGCAAAAGCGCACGGGCCAGAACGGGAACAGGAACTGAAACGTACTGAAGCAATGCCGAGCCACAACGGCCCCAACAGAGACCTGATCATAGGCCAAGGCGTGAAGGTCTAAAATGACCTGTTGCATGACCCTAGGGTTTGGATATTAGGCCCAGGGTTTGGGGTCTAATATCCGACCCGGGGTAGACCCAACAGTACCTGAGGGTATGCATACACCTAAGAGTACATGTGTAGATCTACAGGCATGTGCAGGCCGCCTTTGTTGTGTTGGAAAGGACACAGTATGTGCGGAAAGGTCGTAGTCGTGGTGGCAGTCGCAGTCGCAGTCCCAGGCGCAGTAGTAGTAGTCGTGGTGGTGGTGGTAGTGGTGGTGGTAGTGGTGGTGGTGGTGGTGGTGGTGGTGGTGCGGTGGCAGCTTTATGGCGTGCTTGCTTTCATTGCTGTCCTCGTGTTGCTGGACCTGCGCTGCGCAGGTGCCAGACATGTGAAGATGCTGCCGAGTGCTTACAGGCATTGAAGTTGCAAGTGTCGTTCTGCCTAGTCGACCAAGCAGTGAAGCGACCAAGGCCACGTGTCACGTTTTCAGAAACAAAGCATGGAAAGATGCATGGTCTTGTGCAGCCGTTGCCTTTGCACGAAGGATCAATATCTGGCCATGTCAAACAATGATGCCGACGGTGTTACGATGGCATGTGATGCCGAAGCTCCCAACAGGGAAACGGTAGCGGAAACAGAGTCGAAGGTGGTCCCTGCCAAGGCCAGGGTTCACGATCCGCTACCATTGGAACCAGAAGGTATGTCGGGCATCGACCTAGACGTCAAAGAGCTGCGAATCAACCCTCTTGTGATCAGTGTCCGTGGCACAGCGCAGAACTTGAGTGACTTCTTCACTGGCTTTCACAAACTTGTGAAGACTCTGCCGCCGGGAGAGGAGTTTGTGCAGGCAAAGACTCAGCTCGTTGCAGCATACAAGGTTGCGTACGAGTTCGGTTTGGATTTCAAGCGCTCCCTGACATATCTTCAATGCATGCCATCTCAGGTATCATCGTTCCTAAAGTACTTGGAGGACGAGAGGGAGTTCCTGGACGACGACGACGAAGCTTGCGTTGACGAAGACACCATCAAACTACAGTTCGATGTGCACAAACTGCAGGCTCACTTGAAGTGCTTGCAGGATGCCGCAGAAACAGGCAAACAGCATGCGATGCATTGCATGGAGCTGTTCACGGACAGGGCAATGCTTGACAAGGAGCTGAAGAATGCTTTGGATGGAAAAGCGCAGTGCATGCGGGACCTTGAGAAAGCAGAACATGATTTCCGGGCAACTCAGGTGGTGCAGAGTGAGTTAGAAGGGCAGCGAGACCAATACGAAGAGTTGCTCGGGAAGGTCGAGGGCCTGAACCAGGGCGATGCACAGGGTTTTGACACATTGCGTGCTACCCTGGAAAAACAGCTAGACACGTACAACAAGATTGCTAGCGATGGGCCAGATGAGTACGACGACGCTTGCTGGACGGACGGCTGGTTCAAGAAATACGGTATGGTATTGAAGAAAAAAGACTATACACGATATGAGTCCGCTCTGAAGGAGAACGCCAAAGTAAAGGAAGAGTTGAAGGCAACTTTGCAGAAGAAGCAGGACCGTGCAGAACAGCTTGCGCATTGGACCTCGGAGACCAAGGGCAAGATGAGCAAAGCAAAGAAGGATATCGACAATGCAGTGGCGGAGCTCCGCTCCCAGGCGGAGGTCATCGAAAAAGCCAGAAGTGCTTGCAGAGACTCCGATCTGAAGTTGAAGCAGCTTCGGGGCCGGCTTGGCGTGACCCACCTGGGTGAAATCATATGTGTATGCGATGGTCTGCAGGCGATGATCCACGCAACTTCAGCTATGGGCTCAAATCAAAATGACCATGCTAACTCAGTGGAAGGGCTTGTTGTAGAGCTGCTTCCGTTGTTGAATCGGGTCTTAAAGGCAAAAAAGCTGGACAAGCAGATTTTTGCAGTGAAGAAGATCAAGGAGAAACTCAGCGAGGATTCGCACAGTCAGGCCTTCAAGTGGCTGCGCCTCTCAGCCCCCAGGTATGTGCCCATCGCATCGCTGACGGACGGCCAGGTCCAGATCGAGGATGCCAAAAGCGGAGGATGCTGAGGGGAAGTTGTGTACAGGCCCGTCAGGTCGAAGTGCAGCTTTTCCTGGGTGTTTGGGCCAAACCAAACTGCCCGCACTTCGACAATTTAAGTTTATTGTCAACGTTGTTGAGTTTCAGGCTGGTCACAAGCATAGCCTGTCAACACATTACAGGTGTGCGAGAGCTCAGAAAGCAAAAGGCTCGCAGTCGCCAAGGTCTTGACATTTTCAGGCCTCAGCACTGATCTGCAAACCTGCAAGAAGCTCACCGTATCTACTCTGATGCTTTTTTGCCTCTTCGCCTTCATCTCCATCCCGCAGGTGCATGGTGTGCATGAGGTTATCAGCTCAGGCCGGCTTGCTTGTCGCAGTTGTGGGCTGTGGGAGAATGCGAACCCCAAACTCGGATTGATTATCTTTTGCTGTGTAGTTATTGAAGATTCTGGGACGGGTAGCTTGATTTTTGGCCGAAATGTACGCAGAGTTACGCTGTCGAAAACCCTGGCTGGCTGTTCGGCTCATTGGCCAAAGCTCGGGTGACTGCCGTTCCTAGCGCGTCGGTCTCTGTGCAGCCCAGGCCGTTCATTTGTGACATGCGCCCTTGCAGTCTTGCCAGCATGACGCCTTCCCCACCTCCCTGCACCGCGAGGATGTCGTTCTACCGTGCTCTGAGCAAAACAGTTCTTCGCCAGATGGCTGTGGAGCGTGCTGTGGTCCCCTGGTGCCTCCATCGTTGAGCCCAAAGCTGTGACGGATGTTCCTGCCACAACTTTCTTCAACGAGGTACCACGAGCCGATGCCTCTCAGCCCGTGGCAGAAGTTCTGCAGAGCCTGGGATCTCAGCTCTTGGAGAGCTGCCGGTGGCCTCCGAGTCCGTGTGCCCAGGAGTCGGTGTACCCGGTTTGGTTCAAGTACGTGAAGGGCCCCATGGAGCGCTATCAGTCGATGCCTCGGTCCACTGGATCACGCTTCAATGTCAGATCCCTGACATCTTGGCGAGTGCCAAAATGTCTCCTGACAGTGCAGCTTGTGGGATGCTATGACACGCGGTTTCGTTTTTTGGAAGTGACTAAACACGACTACAGTGTGCACCGGATCTGGCTACAGTCCACGCCGCAATCGTGCGTGTTGCAAGCTCCTAGCACTCAGCAAATTCACTTGAGGTATGAGCACACGGTTGCTGAGCTTCGTGGCTACGGACTGATGCAGGACAGAGAGAGAGGTTGCTTCACGCCATGTAATTAAGCCTTTTGCGAGCAAGCTCCAGGACGACCAGCACAATGACAAGGCACGTGGTCCGTCTGTGCCATGTTGCGTAGATGTGTACAGGCTTAGACTCATTCGCGAGGAGCCCGTGATTGAAAGAGCCCTTGAGCTGTTGCCCCATGACTTGATGGTGGGCCGTTACCGCCGCTTGATGCGAGTGGCCTGGCTGCAAGCTGCGCCGAAGGAGATCATTGGAATGTGCTGTCTTCCAGCATTCGCTCTTCCAGGCGCAGGAGATGTATGCCAAGAAGCTGCACCTGCCCCTGGCAGAGCAGCTCGAGACCGAGTGCTTGAGCCCCCAATGGGTTCGTCGGTTTGTCCTTCTCTGCTCGCTGCAAGGAACTATGATCCTATGATCCCCTACATGGTGAAAGGCTCAGGCTTCGGCTTGGCTCAGCTCCCCTTCGTCCCATGTTTTCGAGCACAGCGTAGCTGTCCGAGGCGCCTTTCATAGAGGAAGCCAAGTTCCAGTTGCAGGAGGAGTTTCGAAGAGTTTGGGTAAGTGTCCGATGCAGTGGTGTTACTTGGGACTCTGATGATGTGTCCATGGGTGTTGCAGCAGCCAGGAGCAGGAGCTCTTGCAGCAGCGCACTCAGACTCAGCGGCTTGCACTGGTGAGAGTCAGTCAGACCGAGTGAGGTTCCACCCGTGGGATCGCCGCCTCTTCTCCGGTGGCGTCACTGGTCTTGGTGAGTCAACGCCGTACTCAGCTTTCATTTCGTGGTGATCTGCTTCTACAATGCTCCTGATTTTTCAATTTTGCAGTCGCAGCAGCGGCTTGCAAGGCTCCGGAAACGAGCATCGACGTAAAAGTCTATAGAGTGTCGGAGTGGACAAGCCGATAAAGCATACTGCATCAGACGAATCATTCCTCTGAGAGGCAGACGTGCGGCAAATTGGTGTATGATCTTTGAATGCCAAGTCTGTGTTCTCATGCTTCAACTGTTCTCCCATGACTAATGTTCATGAGCACAGCTAGCAGCGAGAGTAACATAACCCACCACTCATCATGCCGCTTTGATCGAACGGTAGCTGTGCGCAGTGATTGACTTCGGACTTCGGAAAGGCACCAGAAAAGGCTCGTGTGACACAATACCTTCAATGTGCTTTACATGAGCTTTCGTCGGAGCATCTCAGCTGGAAGAAGTACTGTAAGATGCTTGCAGCCAGGCGCTCTGCTGTCGCTTCCAAGTGTGTCCGGAGGGTGCGCGCATTTCAGCATGCTGCATTGGCAAAGGATGATGATTTTGTGTGTGATGTGTGTGATGTGTGTGATATCTTTCAATCTCGTGTCGAAGGCTGGCGCTGCAGCAACTGCCCACCTTGTTGCCAGTCCGGCACTTTGTACTGGACTTGCGCCAACCCATGCCGAGCAGCTCTTTTGATGTGGCCAAGGCCAAAGGACACTGGCAGGCCAAACAGCCCTCAAGCACATGCATCAACTGCTGTACCGGCGCGGCGAGGTGCACACCACGAAGCGTGGCTGGGCAAGCCTAGCCCCCGCCCTGCAGGCTCGAAAAGCCGGGGGATGGCTGGGCCTGGCTATTCGACTTTGACTCACAGGATGCGCTCAGCAGAGCAATGTCGCAGTCCGAGGCGCCCCGAAATTCCCAAAGTTTGCAAGTGAAGTGGTTGACATGCCATTGCTCGCTTCAAGGATCGGGTGGAAATCCACATCGACCCTGCAACCAGCAGGCTAACTGGCTGAGCGTTTTGCATGCCGAGAGCAGCCGAATTGCGACAGGAGCATTTCGATTTCTTGCTGTCTTTGACTAGTGGCTAGCCCATCCAGTGCCACCCACCCAAGCCCCGCCCAAGGGTGCTGTGGTTTCTGACCCTGATTCTTTACATTGTTGGATTTCAAGTTACATCTTCCTTGGATTGGCCTGAGTGTTAGGGCCCTCCGCCCACTCTACCCGGCTGAGGCACATCGTTCTTGCCTCAACATTGCTGTTGCCAGTGAGTTGTTTTATTTCAAGCACATGTGCTGTTCAAACCGAAAACTTCCCACGTCCCGCTCCGGAATTGGAAGCTGGAAAGAAGGAAGAGCCACAATAAAAGCTCTAGATGAGCTACGGCTTCCCAAGGGCTCCAGCGACTGGATGGAATTCAATGTGCCTGCTTTTTATTTCTGCATCGCTGCTTCGATGATGTCGATGACGCAGGTAGAGACTACGGTTCAGTGTTGGTGACGTCGCATGGGATGGTCTGTTGGGTTGACTTTGTTGCAGTTTCGAGTATCGAGTCTGAAGAATTTTCATGAAAGATTTGCCGATAACTGAGTCCTTTCGCTTTGCTGCCAGGGTGTGGATGCCGGACAAGGCGGCAGCAGATCCAGCAAGGGGCCGACTTGCGCACGGCACAGTGTTTTGTTCCAGTGAGAGTTGCATTCATGGGTACTCTCAGGCGAGGCGGTCCAGCTGCTTGGTGTACGAGGCCTGCCACCACAGCACATGTTAACAATACTTCCAGTCTCTCGGAGGCATGACAGTGCAGAGGCAAAGGGTTAGGTTCCTGCGGGGGCCAGTGCATCATCGACCAAAATTGCAATCTCGCCATGCCCCCGTTGCCACGAATGTCGGATGCTTCAGCACCGTTTTGGCCTGCACAGAACGCACGAAGAGCCACAGTGTTCAACCCCAGCCTTGCCCTGTGGAAACGAGGCGAGGCTGAGCCATGTTTTCTTTTTGGATCTGGGCGATACTCACGGCGGGCTAAGCGAAACGGCTCCGGAAGCTTCCGCTTGTGCTTCCGTCCCTGGGGCCGGGAGCAAGTTGACGTCCACCTCCAGCACCTCATCTGCATGCTCGCGCCCCACAACCTCCACCCTGTTGATCCAGCTGCGTTCCCTCACATGCATCCCATGGCCCCTCCATTCACGTACTTGCTCCTGCATCCATACAGCATCAATGACTAGCCACCGCGTTTGCAAGGCCTTCCCACTCGACCGGACCATCGGCAAGGTGCCAGGCTGAGAAGTGCCAGTGGGCGACTTTTGAATGCAGCTTTCGGAGAAGTCGGACAGCAATGGCCATGGCTCAAGGTAGGAGGTGAGCCACCTCGACCAGTACGATGGCGGGTAGGTCTGGGCTGTTTGCCTATGTGGAGCTACGGCTTACCATGCAAAGGATCATTCTGAATTGGAGGCGCCGGGCCTCGGAAAGACAGCAGCAAACTGTCACTCCCTCAGGGTGTGATCTCATCTACGAATCTACGGCCTACATGTGCAGTCATATGCTTGATGCAAGCCGCGGGAGTCGGCCATCGTGCATGTCGGTCAGCATATTCGGGACAATAAATCGCCAGTCTCGTGGAGTTCATTCAATCGTGCAAGTCACCCAAGTGGACCAAATTCGGCCACACTGGCATGAGAACTCGGCATGAGAACCCGCGCCGGCTGAGCGAAGCTGTCTGCATGCCCGGCTATGGCGGATGAACCCAAACCTTTAGGGTTTAGGACTGCGACAAGAATTTAGAACCACATGGTCATCCTTCGGTTGACTTTGGGCTTTGCTTTGGGTCACAGCTGGTTTTGTGTTGTCATGCTTGTAAGTACAAGGCATTCATCGTCTCGGATCGTCCTGATGCCTTTCCACAGACAGCCTGTTGCGTTTCATTGTGCACCTTAGCCAGATCTGCAACAATCAACTTTCGATTCACATGCAAATCATACCGGGGGGCGCCGGCCACTATCTTTCGTATATTCGAACAGGTTCTGGTTGCCCAGCATCTGTTGCCAATAGCAAGTAAGGTCCGGCGGACTGATGCCGTGATGTTCTGGAATACGTGGTGGTGCGATGAATTCATAGGTCGAATTATTCATGGCACAAAGGAGATGCCATGAACCTAGATTCACTCGAGACGAGAAAAGCAATCTAGATACATTACCACTTAAAAATCATGATGAAGCCCCCTTTATATTTGAATTATATTTTCGAGGAAACCAAATTTTACCAAATATCGACAGATTTATGAGAAGGTATTTAAAATTTAACATGGAAAACCATTCATAACGTTCGTTCAAAATTAATATATAGAAATATTGATAACGAAGAAATAATTGGCGGATAATTAATACTAAAACTTAAAAAATCTAAAAATATATTTCAAATCAACTAAGAAAATGAATTGAATTTTCACAAATACTAAATGAAATTATTACATTTCGAATGAAAATTTTAAAGAGATCTCAAGTAGAAAAGATGTGAGGAAATATAGATACATATATATATATTCTAGATTTCGGAAGATTTTTTTCGTATTTCTTTACGAAAGAATATCTCTATTTCGCAGATTTCTGGAAATATTCATATCTCGATTAATTCTTTCTGATTTAGAAGATATCGATAATTCTAAGAAATTTCGCGAAATTATAGAGGATATTCTCGCGATAAAGAAATTAAATGAGATTTTGATGGAAGCTCTCGCGTGGTTTGAATTGAATGAAATTGAATATTGGGCGCATATCAGGATTCTTCGGGTTCGTTTTGGAATTGAATTTCTTACGATAATTAGTATAATTAATCTTTCGTTTCCATAATATGAATAAACTACGAGCTATATTTTGATTTTTTTTGATATATTAAATTAGAGTCTGGGAGGTTATGGGAATATATTTTCTTGAAATTATTTGATTTTGTATTTATTATTACTTTGATTTATGCTGGGATAATCATATATATATATGTATATAAATATATACAACTCAATAGAGACCTACTCGTGCTTGCATTCATGTTATGGCTAGTTAATATCTAATACTAAGACTATTATTAGTATCTTGCATGATTTCAAATTTAGACTTTCGTACATATCGTTTGCATCATATGATTTGCTTCATTAATTCTATCGGGCTAGCAATATATAAGTCTATTATTTGTAAATTTATATTAAGCGACATATCCATTCATATATATATATATGAAGAATAAAGATATATGGATAAATATATATTCATATATATATATATCTATATATCTATATTCAAATACGAATATATATATTTTTATCTTCATATATATGAAAGATATTGTACATAATAGAGGATTCGGCATATATATAGAAATATATATATATATATATTTAATCATATATATTTTATATACAGTGCCTTATATTAATCGATAGATGTTGTCTTTTCACTATTCATGCATAGTTATATGCACAGATTTAACTTATCTCTGTGTGGAGCATGCTTCTAACATGGTAGTACAAACTTCTTGATCTATAAATGATATTTTATTTGATTATATTCCTATTATTATCACTGATCATATCTGTTATATTAATAGTCTTACCAATGCATTTTAAGATTTTAACCGAATATTCAATCTAAATATAGTCAATAATAGCACTAGATGTACGAATTTTTTCAATATACGCCAAGTCGATGTTCTATAGATTACCAGCAACAATTGCGTTATGAAGTGGCACATACATATATTTATCATATTTTAATTATAATCATATTCAGAAGAATAATCGAAATATAGAAAGCATATTGGGTTACCAGCAACAAATGCGTTGGAAAGTGGCACAGATATATATTTATCATATTTTAATTATATTCATATTTAGAAGAATAATCGAAATATAGAAATTATATTGATATATGGACAAGCTATATATATATATATCAATGAGCAATTCCTCTGACAAGAATGAAATATATTTTATCATAGAAGCATAATATGATTTCTAAGCATATAAAAATATTGGCCAATACAATATATAGATATGCACCTGTTTAAGAAAATCTAGGTCTTCCAAATAATGGATTTGATATAGAGATTTATATATAATAAGATGATATTCAATCAAGATTATTAAAATCGATAATAACGAACCAGTATCATAATAACGAATATGAAATTAAATATAAAATTTCTATTAATATCTAATAATAAAATTTAAAATTTGCAAATAATTTTCTTATATAATAGCATTATGATCAGCGAATAAATAATTAGACAAAGAAATTAAATAAGCTAGATTCATTAATTATGCCTTCAATTTTTACTTACGAAAGAAATAATGTTTCGCATAGAACAATTTTAGTATTTTGCTCTTTTATATCACCTCAGTTTATGCAGCTCCTACATATTCACGTACATATACCTATATATATATATATATTTATATATACATACATATTTCCCACGCGCACGCATCTATATATATCCAAATTTTCTAATATACTATGAAGAGCCAATATGAGATTAAAATAAGAATAAATAATTTTACCAGTTTACAACAATATAATCACCAATACTATATATTTCATCGCAAAATAATCTTAGAAAATATCGACGAATCGATATCTAGCTATATATTTCAGAGACCTATTCAATAGTCGTCGTATTAACACTAATAATGGTAGTTACTATAAAACAAACGGAGTTCGACAGATTATTGATCGCTATATCACGCAGACGTCCAGTAGCCTACGAGAATGACGAAGGCATAATTAATGAATCTAGCTTATTTCATTTAATTGTCTAAATAAATATTTATTCGTTTATCATAACGTGATTATATAAGAAATTTATTGGTTACTTTTAAATATTGTTATTGGATACTAATGGAAGAAATTATTCCGATATTGGTTCGTTATTGTCGATTTTAATAATCTTGATTATATGTTATCTTATTATTTTTAAGAGTCTATATGAAATCAAGCAGGGATATCGAAATATCAATCCAGATAGAATTCTGAAGTGTTTGCTTGAATATGAATGGCATGGAATCTGCACTCAAGGTGAGGTCGCTGTAGTTTTGATGCGCCTCACATACCCGCAAAGCTTCTTATCATGCTGAGAACAAAAAGTGCTGATGCACAAATATGGTATTTCGCACTGCTATCTAGTCGTATATATGTTGACCATGCTACGTTATGTCCCTGGGAGTGCGCATCTGCCGTGATTCACGCGCGAGTCTTTCGAATAAATCCAAAAAAAAATAAAACATCAAAAATTCAATAAAATAAAAAAAAATAAATCAAATAATTATCAGAGACTCCTGGACTGAGGTATCCATGGTCGGAAAGTGTCAGATCTTTGGTTTTTTTGGTTTTTATGATTTCTTTGATTCTATATTTTTTTATTTATTTTTTATTTTTATTTTATTTTTTAATTTATAGTTTTTTTTATTTTATGATTTTTTTGATTTTTTTTGAAAGACTCGCGCGTAAATCACGGTAGATGCGCACTCCCAGGATCCCCCATTCTATTAAACTATATAAGAAGACCTATGCACGAGATATCGATTTTCGCGGGCTTATTCTAACGTCGGAGGCAATAATATATAGAATAATAAAAATAATCATAATAATTCATAAAAATACGGCTTCATATCAATTTCGACAATTCTGATAAATAATTTGGATTTAAATTTCTATCTTCAAATATTATTAATTATTAAATTTATATTAGCTAGAAATATAGATAATCTATATTTTTCAAAGATGATATTCCTCGGCAGATTCTATAGATTGTTAGGTCTTCTCCAATTTCGATATCTCTAATTGATATTTTTATTGCCAAATTCCATATGGATAAAATCTACTTATTTTTTAGTCGCGTCCTACGGAAAATCCAAGCTTTTCAAGAATTATAGAAAAAAGACTTGAGATTTATAGTTCTATTATCAAATATTATTTCTGAAATATTTTATTTATATTAAATCGCGGGTAGATTTCGCTATTCCGGCTCGGATGATCAGAAATACGAAAAATCCAAAATTTTTCTAGGATTATTATTGAAAAAATAATTATATATTGGATTCCTGGAAATATAAATAATCGTCGGCAAATTCGATAATTATCATTGATTCCCGGATCTCTCATTAAATACGGCATCTCGGATAGAAAATTAGAATTCGATTTATTATTGGAAAATTCTATGAACAATATCACTTTTATTAGATCTCGGAGCAATCTCTTGGACCAGAGATTCCGACGAATAGAAATACGGAAAATATAAAATTTTCCAAATATGGTTTTTGGTAATCAGGAATATTCATCGTCAAATGAATCGATTGATATAAGATAATATTATCATTGATATTGATATTATTATTCTTCTTCTTATTATAGATAACGGTGGTGGTGGTGCTTCTGCTGTAGTAATATTATTATTATGAGAGAGCGGGCAGAGGGAGAGAACGAGAGAGAGAGCGAGAGAATCGGTAGTGCGGTCGCGCAAGATTCTGCTTGGTGAAAGATATGGAAGTAAATTAGATCGGGATGCTGAGAGCAAAAAATATTATATCATATCTATATGGGGAGGAGCTTCCTGTAGACCCGCAAGGAGACGTCAGATCAATAGAAATGAAATTATTTATTCAGGAGCGCACGAGATATATATATATACATCGAATTCGAGTCCAACCTTTACTTTTTAATACAAGAATAGAAGATCCGAGAAATAAATGACGAAGTTGCTTATAGATCATGATTCAGAAATTTTTTTCGAATAGGATTCTGTGGATTCCTCATACTTGTATGATGCTTCTGTAGCCCTTTGATGCTTGGAAGCTCTTTTGTAAGGGAAACAGCTAGGACCTGCAAGCGTCCAGAGTAGCAGTCCTTACGTCGAATACTGCAGTTCGTTGTCTGTGTGCGGAAAATAAGCCCTTTGCGAGCTGTGCCATGTCTCCTTGATAACCTTGGAACGATACAGAGAAGATCTTCAAAGGCACTCCGCTAGATCTGGCGATCAACAGGTTATGAGCCCAATCCCAGGGCCGACCTGACACCGTGGAAGGTGAGACTTCAGGGCCTGATTATGCCCGGGAAGGCAACTTGGATGCAAATGGTCAAGATGCAAATGCTATGCTTAATGGGACTGGACCGAGAATGGCACGTCAGTCTGCAGTTGTGGAGAGTGGAGCTCGGACTATGGAGTCGTCACATGTACAAACTGGTGTTTCGTCTGTGAGTGAAGCTGGCAGTCGAGTTGCGACTGAAACCGGAACGGATGCGCGTGGCACCGGGCAAGGAACGACGGCGCATGGATCCGTGGGTCAGGCTTTCTTGGGTGGCTTAGCTAGTAGTTCTGAGACTAGGGGTGGTAGCAACCAGCAAGCGCCCCAGCAGCCGCAACCACTGCAGCAGCAAGCCGCTCAGCAGCCACAACCCCTGCAGCAGCAAGCCGCTCAGCAGCCACAACCCCTGCAGCAGCAAGCCACTCAGCAACCGCAACCAGTGCAGCAGCAGGCCACTCAGCAACCGCAACCAGTGCAGCAGCAGGCCACTCAGCAACCGCAACCAGTGCAGCAGCAGGCCACTCAGCAACCGCAACCAGTGCAGCAGCAGGCCACTCAGCAACCGCAACCAGTGCAGCAGCAGGCCACTCAGCAACCGCAACCAGTGCAGCAGCAGGCCACTCAGCAACCGCAACCAGTGCAGCAGCAGGCCTGTCAGCAACCACAGCCCATGCAGCAGCAAGCCTTTCAACAACCACAACCGATACAGTACCAAGCTTCTCCGCAGCTGCAATCAGCACCGCAGCCAGCTCCGCAGCAGCAGACTGTGCCAAGCGTACCTGGACAGGAGATGCCAGCTGCAATGTCTTCGGTGCCTACTGCTTCCATGATGCCACAGATACCTCAGGAATCGTCGACGGCACCTACGGTGACTATGCCGGCGCTAAGGTTGGCAGCTCCGCGGAGACCAAGGTTGACTTATGGTTCCTTGGGTCACGAGCAAGAAGGCATTGGGGAAGATGGGGATCCTCCGAGGCCTCCTGTATTGGCTTCTGTAGAGAGCTTCGCTTCAGCAAGGAGTCAGGTTGCTGCTGAAGGGGGTCCACGGAATGTATTGTGGTCGTTCGGCGAAGTCTTTCAGAGGAGAGTTGTGGACCCGTTTGTGAATGCCGGAAGAAGCCTCTCATCTACTACCGCTACGAGACCTACTACAACCCCTCAGCAGCAGCTCTTCCAGGGTGAAATGCAACAAGCCTTTCAGGTCCACCAGACGCGGGACACCCTCATCAGCCCTCAACGCCGGAGGCCGGATGAGGACGGGTCGGCTAGCAGTTTGAACCAGGACATGGTTTTGGATGAAGTTCGAAGACAAGTTCAGCTAGCTATGTAGGGGAGGGACCAAGAGGTCCACGCACTTAAGCAACGGAATGAAGAGCTGGAAAGGGCATTGGCGGAGGCCAATTCGGTGATGAGAGTTTATGGTTCAGGTGGAGGGAGCGGACCAGCTGGGACAGAGCCGAGTGGAGTAAGATCAAGTCCACCCGGAGTCCAAGCAGGACCTTATGTTCCTTCAGGGGATCCCGGACCTCAGCGTGGAGATTCCAGAGAACCTCGGGGCAATCCTTTGGGTGCAGGCGGAGGTGAACTTCGTGGTGCGGGACTCAAGGGGCCGCCGGGCCTTGGACAAGGAGCTGCTCAAACCTCGGCAGCCCGGAGTGTCCCTCTTGAAGGACAGTCTGGACATGGTCGGGGGCAAGCGGTTGGAGACCAAGGAGATGGAAAAGTTGAGCCTCTTCACTTGTTGGTGGAAGGGATGAGGCAGCTACAGCAGGCGTACATTGGACGCGGTGAAGCTCGTGACGCCGAGCTTAAAGGAAACATTGAGCTCCCCGAAATGCCGGAGCTCACTTCGGACAGCGCTGTTCTCTTCGCGGACTGGATCTACGAGGTGGAGCAGGCAGTTGGAGGTCTTAGTGACAAGGCTTCCCGATGGTTTTCCTTGTGCTTGGCTGCAGCGAGGGAAGCTTACGACTTGTATCAGGTCAGTGATCCGCTGACCCGCTTGTCCTTGGAACCGACGAGGACTGAAGAGCTATGTGAAGAACGCTGGAGCAGATTGGAGCGACGAGTGCTGACCTTGATGCTGGGGACTTTGCGCAAGCAGGCCAAGGACGACGCGGTGACGCATCGCATAACCACGGTGCCGGGCCTGCTCTATCGCTTGCACATCCTCTACGCTCCGGGCAGTGCGGCGGAGAGGGCTTCCATCCTTCGACAGTTGGAAGGACAACCTGGGACCACGAGCATCGTGGACACCGTTGCTTCGTTGAGAAAGTGGAGGAGGCAGCTGAAACGGGCCGAAGAAATGCGAGTGTCTATCCCGGACTCTTCACTACTGTTGCGAGGAGTGGAAAACTTGGCGGGCAAGGCGGTGGAAGCCAACGGGGACATCAAGTTCAGGCTCGCTCTGTCAAAGAGCCAGTTGCAATTGCAGTACAGGCCGACGTTGGACGGTGTGCTCAAGTACTACGACCACATCTTGGCGGAGCTTCAACAGGCTACCCCGACGAGATCTACAGCGGGGACGACTTCTACGAGTGCAAGCACTGAGGCCACGAAGCTCAAGGGCATGAACGCAGGTGGAGTTGGAGCGGGCACGGGTGAGACGTCTTCCCCTACAAGGCGAGGAGGAGCAGCGCAGCCTGGAAGTGGAGGTAAAGTTCCATGCCGGTTTTTTGCCTCAGACTCTGGATGCACGAAGGGCCAGACTTGTAAGTTCGACCACACCTTTGCGAGCAAGGAGGCGAAGAAGTTGAAGTGCTGGTGTTGTGGGTCTGTACAGCATACACAGAAGGATTGCCCAGTGAAGGCAGGAGCGTCTTCTCCATCCAAAGGGGGTGCTGTATCCAGGCCGAACAATGCAACCTCGAGCACTACTACCACTTCCAGTCAGGCCCCTACGGCAACACCTATGTTGAACCAGGCAGCTGTGCAGCACCAGCAGGCAATCCTCGAGTCGTTGAGCTCAGCTACCACAATGACCCCTTCGGTTTCGGCCGCAGCTACCACAGCACCAACGACGGGCCCGGGAACAGGAGCCACTGCGACTCTCGACAATGCGCCTCCCGATGAAAAGACTCAGGAGATAACAGCCCTTCTCCAGCAGGCCAATGCGATGCTGAATCAGCTGACAAGACTACAAGCTTTGCAGGTGTCTACGGATACTAGCTTACGTGGCCTCGCGTCCCAGATGGCTGATTTGGGTTTCAATGAGGAGGAGCGCTTAGCTCTTCTGGATTCCGGGGCCTCGCATGCTTACCGTGAAAGGCAACCACATGAACCACTACCTCAAGTACCCGTTCGTGTAGAACTAGCAGGGGGAAGAACGATAGTTCTTCAGCAAAATCAGGCTGGAAGGCTGATGCCGACTGCGAAGGACGAGGAGGCCGATGATTCGGCTACGATCTTGCCGATGGGTGCCTTAGTCCAGCAGTTGGGCTGTGACCTGACGTGGACCAGACGCGGCGGCTTGAAGATTGTTCACCCTCAGTTTGGAACGTTGAAGACGGTGGTGAAGGGAAACTGTCCCCTTCTCGGTGAGACCCAAGCTTTATCTCTGATCCATCAACTGGAACAGAAGAAGCTGCAGGAGCTTCGGGAGTCCACGGCGGAGACCTTCTTGGGAACCATGTCCCTCACCGAGGTGAAGGACTGGGATGAGCTCTTCATGATGTTCGTGCAGACTGGTGAAAGGACTTCTTTGCTACAAGCCTTGCAGTCGGAAGGGTCCCTTTGCAACATTTGGGAAACGATTTGAGGGCTATGTTGGCGGTGGATTTGGACTTGAGTGAGAGCGCGGGCCGTGAGTACCTCAAGTCTTTGCCGATGAGAAGGTCCCAGAGGAAGTCCCTGCTGACAGAGAGATGGGCAGTCAAGCTATATGAGCGTGAAGGTGAATCCTCTCAGGACTTCAAGATGGTCGAGACTGACAAGGTTGTGTATGTCAATGTGAATATTCATCGAAGCAAGGGATTCTCGATAAGGGGAGATAGTCCGATGTATCGGGCACTCATGTGGGCAGCTTGCAGAGGGCAACTTGAAGGTTTGGTTGGCTCTCCTCCTTCCAACTATGCAGCTGAGCTATGTGCCCGACAGCTTCTTTTGTGGATGGTCGCTAAGGAAGGAGCACGATTGCATCGCCAGGTAAGTCCCTATCTGCTTATGACCATGGACCCGAAGTCTGGATGGTGGAAGACGCCGATGTGGCAGGGCTTCCAGCGGGAGTATCAGATCCCTGTGAGTCAAGCGGCGCCTACCGGAACCTCGGAGTCCTACTGTACGGCTACGAATTTGGAGCTTTGTGGTGATGATGAAGGTTGGGGCCCTGGCGTAGACGCTTCAAGTAGAGTTGCCGGCTGGTCTGTCCGTTTTCACAGAATGATCGTGAAGGGCATCCTTGCATGGAGGACGAGGCCAGAACCTTTGATGCTGTTGAGCGCTACGGTGGGTTCGGGAGCCATGAGTGCGGAGGAGCTTCGAAAGTGGCGTCGTCATGTGGCCAACGGCCACTTATCATACAACCGACACTGCCGGACCTGCGTGGAGACTGCAGCTACTGGTCGCAGTCATCGGCGCATCATTGCGCCTAGCTGTTACACCCTTTCCTTGGACCTGGCTGGGCCGTTTAGAATCAAGGGCGAGTCGGGTGATGCAAAGGGGTACCGCTATGCGCTGGTAGGCAATTACACCATGCCATCCACCATTGGATTCAAGGACTACAAGATTCCTGATGAACTACCTCCAGATGAACCTGAGGGCGGGGTCGGCCATATACCGCTTGATGAAGATGATGATCTCTTTAAGGAGGCTAAGGATGAGTTTCCCGAGAACCCCCGCGAGAACCAGAAGGAGATGGAGGCCGCAAACGACGAGTACCAGAAACTGTTCAAGGAAATCAAGGATACCATGACTTACCAGAACCTGCATTTCATGGTTCCCCTGAAGACCCGTGTGGCTTCAGAAGTTGAGGCGGTTATTCGCATTGTGTACCTCCAACTACGGGCCGAAGGATTGCCAGTTCAACGAGTACACAGTGATCGTGCTAGAGAGCTACGTGGGCAGGGAATCAGAAAATGGCTACTTGAAAGAGATATATACCCTACGACGGGAGAAGCTCAAACTCCCCAGTCCAATGGACGTGCTGAGCAGGTTGTCAAGGCCTTGAAGCGGCGGGCTAGAACGTTGCTGCAATCTTCGGGACTGCCAAGGTCGTGCTGGCCGCTTGCGATGGGATATGCGGCATGGGCTCAGAGAGAGTTTGCGTTGGGCCGTTCTGGTAGCGTGGTTCCATTTGGAGCGGAGGTGTCGATCAAGGCCAGGGTGTTTGGACAAGGTGGAAAGTTTGATCTCGACAACAAGTGGGACAGTGGACAGTTTGTTGGGCCAGCGACTGAGCTACGAGGTGGATATGTGGTGCGGGACAAGAATGGGCGATACCTCACTACAATGCACATGAAGACGAATGTGGTGGATGTTGATGAGTTGGTGGGGCCCGTGACGGCTGAAGCTGTTCTTCCCATGCCGGTGAAACGTATGAGAACCAAGGTCAAGCTCACGACTGTTGAAGAAGGCGAAGCACACCCACCAACAAGAGATTCAGAGCCGGGAAGTCCATCGCCGGGTCCACTAGGGGAAGTAGAAGTACCCGAAGGAGGTGAAGCACACCCACCAACGAGAGATTCAGAACCGGGAAGTCCATTGCTGGGTCCTTTAGGGGAAGTCGTAGTACCCGAACCTTCTACGCGTGGTGGTGGTGGTGACGTTCCGAGTTCGGCTAGTGGTCCATCTCGTCGCCTACATGAAAAGACGAGCTTGAAGGCGATGAGACCATTGACAGCGTTGGAACAACAGATTGTGGAGCTGGCTGCAGAGTACGATGTCGATGAGAGGTATGATGAACAGGCCGTCTTGAATGTCTATGCTCTGTTGGAGCGTACACGATTGCAGGGCTCAAAGGCAGTGATCCGGAGATCTCAAACAACGTCGACGTCATGGACTACTGGGATGTTCACACACGGCGGTGTGTCTGGACTTAGACAAACTGCAAGGAGGATGCCTGCGACTACAGCTTTCTTTACGAAGGTTGCGAAGGAGCTGATGGGTGAGGAACATTTCGGTGTGGTGGCAGTGACCCGTGGGGCTCAACTCAGAGTTCATCGAGATTCTCACAATGATGCTTCAACCAAGAACACCGTGATGGCCTTGAGTGCTTTTCAAGGAGGTGGTTTGTGCGTTGAAGGACCTCCTGGCGATCAATGGCGGCAGGTGACTCCTGGAAGATGGGTTCAGGGCAAAACTTATGAGCTACGACCTGGAGCGCCACTCTCTTTCAGTCCAAGGAAGTGGCATGAAACCCAACCTTTTCAGGGCGACCGCTTGGTGATGATGGTGTATACCCCTCGGACCAACAACCTATCTGATGAAGATCGACGAGAGTTATGGGAGCTTGGGTTTGATTTACCTGAAGGAAGGGACCCCATGCCGGCTGAGGGAGAGATCCAGTTGAAGAAGCAGGAGTATATCCTGGATGAAGACGGTGCCCTTGAGACCTTTGTGAAGGGTGAGGCGCCTGAGGAGGAGACGAGTGTTATGGATCAATCGCTCCTGAAGGTCAATGAGCTACAACAACAAATGCTGGATGAGATGATTGACCGCTCTTCCCTCCTACAGGACTTGGTTGAGGAGGAGGAAGAGAGGTTGTAGGATCTACATCAGACCCAGTACAGTTGTGTGGCCAGTGCCAAGCAGGTTCACGCTGAGATCATGGAGATGTTGAATGCTTTGACGGAGCGACAGCAACAACACCAACAGTTTCGTGATGAGATGATGGTATTAAAGGCGGCGATCAGTGAACCAGAGCAAGACTATGAACAGCTGCTTGCCTTGGATGGAGACCTGCAGGTGACCCACACAGTGCCCCTTCAGCAAGTACGACCGGTTGTGGAGCGTTGGCGAAAAGCTATTCAGAAGGAGGTCAAGAACCTGTTTGAGACCGGCACACTCCGAAAGATCAAGAAGTCCGAGGCGAAGCGTTTGGAGGCACTTGGCAAACTCCGTTTGGTGCCAAGCAAGGGAGTGTTCACTATCAAGCCTCCCAGCGAGAAAGGAGGTGGTTTCAAGAGAAAGTACAGGATGGTGCTATGCGGAAACTTCGTGGATCCAGCTGAAGCTCAAGGATCTTTGTATGCTGGTGGAATCAGCGCTGAAACGCTGAGGGCGCTACTGGCATCGACGTCCTTTCTAGGATGGAAAGGGGCCACAACAGACATCACAACGGCCTTCCTCCAGGCCTTGTGGCCGGAACATATGCCAATGTATGCTGTGGTGCCCCCGAGACTGTTGTGCGAGCTCGACTACGCGGATGACTCTGAGGCTTGGTTGGTTCTACGTCCTCTCTATGGACTACGAGAATCCCCGGCGATATGGTCTTCTCATAGAAATGCAAGGTTGCGAACTTTGAAGATCCCCTACAATGGTGGTTTCGTCACGCTCAAGCAGTCTACTTCGGATTCAGAGCTGTGGTTTGCAATCAACGATCAAGCTGAGGAGGAGGGCCAAGGAACTCTCGTCGCCCTCCTGGTGACCTATGTGGACGACCTCTTCTACATTGGACCGGAGCGTTTGGTTCTGGAAATGCACAAATGGGTAAGTGCCGAGTGGCCGTGTTCAGACTTACAGTGGGCCTCTGATCCCGGTGGAGTACGATACCTTGGAATGGAGATTTTCCAGAGAGAGTCCGGTGAGTATGAAGTCGGGCACACTGGCTATATCATGGATTTGCTACGGGCACATGATCTACTACAAGCCCCCCAGACGCTACTTCCATGTCCGAAGGAGTGGGTCACTGATGAAGTTGACCAGGAGCCCGAGGACTTTACAGAGGCTGACTTACGTTTCGGGCAACGATTGATTGGAGAGCAACTGTGGTTGGCTATGCGAACCAGACCCGATATTCACCATGTCGTCAGCTACATGTCTTCGTGGGTCAGCAAACACCCGCGGAGAATTTCGAGGATTGCTTTGCGTGCGCTGTCCTACTTGCACAAGACTTCCCAGATGAAGATGATCCTTGGACAACCTGTTGGAAGAGGCAGCCACCAAGCACATCACAGCAGCTCGACAAGCAGCAGCGGCAGCAAAACAACTCAGCAGGTGGTTGGGTTTCAAGATCTTAAGATAGTGGGTTTCTCAGACGCTAGCTTTGCTCCCTATGGAAGTCGATCCTACAGTGCGTCGCTTGTAGTGGTCGAGGACTCTCCAGTGGCTTGGCGTTGTGGTCGTCAGAGTTTTACTATGCTTTCGATCATGGAATCGGAGTTGTATCAAGCAACGGAAGCTGCTGTGTTGATTGAGAATGTGGGTGCGCTGATAGACGAGCTGTCAAGAAGGAGGGTTCATCGGACTCTCAAGGTCGACAATTCGTCTGCTGTTGCAATGCTGAGTGGTGGACCTGGAAGCTGGCGTACGCGCCACTTGAAGGTTAGGTCGGCCTATCTTTTAGAACGGATCCAGGAGAAGTTGTTGGATGTAGAGCACATCGAAGGCACGTTTCAGAGAGCTGACCTATCTACGAAGATGCATTCTAAGGTGCGTCTATGGGCTTTATTGAAGATGTGGAAGTTTGAAGGACTTCCAACAGAGGCAGAAGCTACCATGCTCCTCAGAATGTTGGCGGCCCTCTGTATGACAAAGGCGCTTGAAAGTATCCCAGGAGCTCGAGGAACCTCTGTGAATGATGCTGTTGCTACAGTATCAGTTGCGGGAATGGATGAGCTAGTGATATTCACTTTGTTGGCTTGTGCAGCAGCTGTTCTTGTATGGGAGTTTCTGAAGTGGGCTGGACGTTGCATGTGGAAATGGTGTTGCAAGCCCAAATCGGGACGAAGAGCCAAGCGTTTGAAGGACATGGCGCGAGCGGCTGCAGAAGCCGAGGTGGATCGAGCCTTCACGACTCCTAGTCAACCGATGGCAAGCAGCTCTTCATCATCACCGCTTCCTACATATGCCCCGAGTCGCACAATGACTACCCCTACCTCGAGAACAGTTGGGACCCAGACATTGGACTGGGAGACGACGAGAGGGCCGTTCCCTGTCGATATTACCCCTCCAAGGGGAATTCCCTCGGCTATCCAGGATGATAATCACTACTTCCTCTTTGACGGTCCTTTCTACCGTACTGAGCATGGAGACACGATTCACACCAGGAGTGATTGCACGGGATTTCGGCTTGCGACCAGTCGTGTGCAAGCGACTCGCCTATGCAACTGGTGCAGCAGGCAAGACTCCCTCTATCGAAGGATTGACAGAACACGGAGGGAGCTTCGCTACGCAAATACCGGATGAAGTGTTGATCTGCCCGAGTTTGAGACAAGGGTAGATATGCATGCAGTCTGACTGTGGAGCAGTTTGACAGCACCAGGGCCTTTAGAAGCCCATACGAACCGGCAATGTCTGGTGGCCATGGCCTGTGAGAGGCCTGACCAAGGAGGAGTGTGGATTCCTCATACTTGTATGATGCTTCTGTAGCCCTTTGATGCTTGGAAGCTCTTTTGTAAGGGAAACAGCTAGGACCTGCAAGCGTCCAGAGTAGCAGTCCTTACGTCGAATACTGCAGTTCGTTGTCTGTGTGCGGAAAATAAGCCCTTTGCGAGCTGTGCCATGTCTCCTTGATAACCTTGGAACGATACAGAGAAGATCTTCAAAGGCACTCCGCTAGATCTGGCGATCAACAGATTCTTATTAATATTCGGAAAAATCTTTCTTTCGTCCTCGAATAGGGGTCGAATTTAGAAGTCGCTACGAATCAAAGGGGGTAAATCTACGGATCAAAAACTCCTTGGAAAGAGATAGAGAGAGAGATAGATAGAAAGATAAAGAATAAGAATATGAGAAATAAAGAGAAGAATAAAGATAGAATCAGAGAGAGAGAGATAGAAAGAAAAATTCAAAGAAAAATAAAGATAAATAGAGAGAGAGAGATATATATACAGAGATGAAATAGAGAGAATCTCAAGGCGAGAGAGATAGAAACTAATAGAGAAAGATAGAAATAAAGAGCGGGTATGATTTGAATAAAAGAAATCATTTTGCTATTGATTTCTTTATGAATCGAGTAATCGGCATAATTTTAATTAAATTTCGTGAGCATTTCATAGAAATTGCAAATCATATTTATGAAATTTCCAGAAAATGTCATAAACATTTTATGAAAATTTCTGGAGAATTTCATAGAAATATATTGAAGGTTTCGTATAAAAAAAAAATAGAATAAAATAATATGAAAATTACCGAGAATTTCATAGTAATAGATTAGCGACCACGCGCGCAGACGTAATATTTCAATTTCGCGGTTTCGTATTATTGAATATATATTCTTAGAAGCCTTTGAAAATATTGTTAATTCTTCATATCTCTTTCTCCATTCCAAATATTTCAATATCTCAGAAATTCGAAGTATTACTATCTTCCTTATCCATTATCTATTATTCGCTTTCTATTATCTCTTTCGAATATTAATCACGATCCAATTTATATATTATATTTATCTTCTTCCATAAATTGCATAAATATCTCGATATTATACCGAATTCCATCCTATTCTCGCTCCGAAGTCAGAAAACTGAATTATTATATCTTCTCTAAATTCCATAGTTTCCTTGCCTCCAATTCGCCAGACCTCCCAATCTCGTATAAGCAACGCGCCCAGCCGAAATCCTCGCGGAGACCGGATGGCGATTGCGAAGCCGCTCGGAGATGCTTGGGGGGAAGCAGGTCAATAGTCGCAATAACGCAAGGGGTCCTGTTACCACCTCCTCCTCCTGCAAGTACGGTTTCAAAAGAAATAAATCTATATATATATATATATGTATATTTATATACACATATATCTAATATTAAAACAAGAAAATGACGTCGAATTCTAGTTTTACAATTTCCGAATATTAGCAAGCATATAAAAAGACTTATGGTTTTGGTAAATCGACGCCAAATATTAACCGTTTCCGGTCGGAACAGAACGTATGTATGATCAAAATCTAATGAAGTCTTTCGTTGCCTTGGATTTTCAAGCTAGAAAGATAAAATGATCGGGCGAGGGGTCTGGTTTGCAAGGGCGCCGCCAACTTCGTGAAGTCAATAGGGAAGACGATAACAGTACAGAAAATTGTGCAATGCATTCGGTGAGCCTTATGGTGAACATGCTCCCTGTGTTGCGCAGTATGGTCGTTCCCGCTGTCAGTTACCGCATGCTCGAAGTTTGCAAAGAGCCGTTGAAATCACAGCAGCCTCTTCGTGACAAAACGGAAGCCGTGCATCGCTGATACAGCCTGGAGCTTTGGAAGCATATCAATTCGCGAAAGAACACCTTACCTGCTCCATGACCTAGACTTGCATGTCACCCACCCAATCGCCACGGGAAGTCGTGTTCAATTCTGCCACATCTATCCACGGCTTGCAGGGTCTGAAGCGGCTTTTTCACCTGCATCAGGTGACTCAAGCCTAGTCCTTGTCGTGGCGGAGGTTCCGTCGTGAAGGCGCTGCCTGCCAAAGCTGGAAGTCCAGCCCTCCGTAGTTTACGTCTTCCGAGTGCCCAACCTGGCAGCTGCCAGATCTTCTGAGGCCATGCGGAACCTGCACCCGCTTAGCTCGGCAGGGCTTCATGGACGGCGACAATATGTGCCTTTCCAGCTTGGAGCGGTTTGCGCTCATCGACACCTGTAAGTCTCAGGACGATCGTGACGGTTTCTGAGACCAATGGCACTCTTGCGAGGGACCACCTCGTCCTGCTGTTGGAGGTGCCGCCGCCTCTCTTCAAAGAAGAGATTCTGCTCTTTGAGGTCAGCCTGTGTGACGAAGCTGGCTAAGTGAGGGTAGCTGGAGAAGCTGCTAAGGATCAGGCCAACTTCAGGCACATGCCGGCCTGGGTGCAATTGGATCGATCTTGTTGAGCCCACCAGCAAATCTCAACAAAGAAGCTTGGGATGGCGCATGCTTTTCCACCTCCATGTTTGCAAAGTCTCTGCAAGCTCAACGTCCGGCTTATCCTGCCTGGTGCTTCAAGCGGATGTTTTCATGACTTTGCTCCACGGCCTTCTGCTTGGCTGTCCTGGCAAAGGCGAGAGACGATAACTACAGTTGATGTCGATTAGGAACCCCAGGGGGCTTGCAACTCTCAAGCGAAGCAGAAGACTCCAGATGAATATGGTGGACTCAGTAGAACTATGGATGCATGGCTTCGTTTTCATTCCAACAGCTCTGTGCTTGAGTTGACTCTCGCGGGCTCACACCCTCATCATGACAAAAGGGTGTAGCTGGCAGTAGCAATTCTTGGAATGTGGGGAGTCTTGATTTGGTTCCGTCTGGATATGGCCAAGACTCAAGATTCACATAGCCACGCAGAGCGATGCAAAAGCAACGGTTGACAACTGTCTAGTGTCAGTCCCGGGCCTGAGTGTTTGCGACAGAGCCGCCAGCTTTGAAAGCAAGGGCTCCGCCCGAGTACCAAAACTCAGTAGTGCATGCTGCACTGAGGCCTGAAGGTATTCAAGTCATTGCAAGGCTAGAAGCATCAATGGAGCATGCCGTCAACGAGTGTCGGCCTCTGTGGATCCATGCGGGAAGTTTGCTTGTTGCAACCTGCACCGAGCCAGCATGGGCAGGCCAGGGGCACACCAATTTGTTTCGGGCATCCGTTTGACTCCAGAGAGCCCTGCTCCTCGAACGCACACTCATTACTTGTGTGCTTCGTGGGCCATTCCCGATACTACGCGGGGGGGGGGGGGGGGCAACTGCAACTAGGCCTCTGGACCCTCTGTATGACACCAGGTCCGCCTTCCCCGTCACTTTGCTTGTAAGCTTCATCGGCGGCCACGGAGATTAAAGGACCACGACCAGCCGGAAGAGAACCGGGAGACGTCTGAATACCAAAAGCCCAGACTCGGGAAAGAACCTCGAGGAGACTTGTCCTGAAGCAGCTGCAAACGCTATCCTAGCCATCGAAACCGTCGTTGTTGATTTTTCGATCCTGAGCCGATCACCTCGGGCCCGACAAACACGAATCAGCAGCAAGGGAACACAAGCTGGCACTCTCACGGCCTTGTCTGCACTGGCACGTTGTAGCGGTGAGGCCTGGCAACTGCGGACTTGGCGCAGCGAAGCAACAATGGCAACAAGCATCGAGAAGATCAAGAGGGACGAGATCACATTTTGGCTCTGCTATTCGGCCACGGAGGGGTCTGGTTCGCGAACGGGATTAGGCAGGCGGTGTGCACCGCTTGAAAGCACCTCCAAAGGAGTGGCTTCATATGGCCTCTCTCCGATGAGCATACGGTTAAAAGGCCGTAGGCTCACTGAAAGTGGATCTTGCTAGCATAGAAGATTCCAGACTGTGTTTTGAAGACTGAACTTCACGATGAGGTGCCTGGCAGCAAACAACTCGCAGAAGAGAAAGGAACGAGGCAAGAATGGCAAAACCTTGCCGCGCGCCAGCAAGACTCCTTGCCAAGCCTGCTGTGGTGGGTGCATGCAATTTCATGCACCTCGCGAACCGTGAGAAGAACTGGCTCCTCTCTACCTGAGACTTTTGCATGCTGGCCTGTGTGGCCGGGGATTGAAGGAGCTAATTGCTCCCACTGGGCCCTTGGGGCCACAGTGTAGGATGCCAAGTAGCCGGCTCCGATGAATACTAGCCGTCGTCCTTGTTCTGCTCTGCTCTCATCTCTGTTCGGCCGGCTCTGTGGACTGCGGACTGTAGGTCCCTCGCTTCACAGTCCGACGTAGGAAAATGAACGGATTCATCGCGTGCTTGGCACGTCGCAGCGAGTACAAAAAGTTAGAGCTACTAGTAGAATTGTAGAAATGCATAAAGCAACGAAACTCTTCGCCTGCGGCACCATTACGCCATCGGCCAGAGCCACGGCAGAAGACAGCTCACTCCGATAAGCCAGAACAAGTCCAGCAGACCACCCAACCTCAAAAAATCCAGGAAAGAGTAGCCTCCTGGACCCATGACCTAAGCAATGGGCAAGCATTGAAGTTCCGTCATGCTGAACCGACTACAGTCTTCCAGCCAATCTTAAGAAAAGCCATGGTCTTGAGCTGCCAACGATGAGATTGGTTGCGTAGCCAATCGGGCTGGCAAAAGAAGTGGATGCGGCAATCATGACCACCATGACCTAGCATCAATGAATCAAGGGACCAGAGCTTCACAGGCTGTTCTGCTCTGCAGACTTCGAACCTGCTCACTGAGTGCATAAGGCATAAGGACGTGGCCAAGGGGTGAGGTGACGCAAGGCCCATCTTCTCCGCCAGGTCGACAGCCAAGGGAACTCCCAGCGCTGCTGCAGCATTGTTCGTTACCATCTCGGTTGTTACCATGACGATAAGGTAGAGGAGCGAGGGCGCCAGCCAGTTGGGAAGCCCCGTGGCAATGATTCCTCGCGAGATGCCGGCTGCCAGGCCAGATTTCGCCATCGCCTGTGCGACGCCCAAAGCCGAGCCGATCAAGATCAGCAGCTGCCAATCGACGATCGTCCGGATGTCGCCGGCCTTGATCCAGCCCCCGAGGATAAAAATGCACGACAATGTGACCGAAAGCTGCACCATGCTGATCATATCCAGAGAAGTCAGCACCAATGCCGGGACAAAGACCACGAGAGGAATCAGGTCATACCAAGACATAGGTTTGGGCAATGAGCCAAGCCGTGTGACAAGCAGGAAGTGCGAATTGGGATACGAATTTCCTGTAGCGCCCAAGACAAGGATCACATCACCCGCCATGAAAGTAGCAGACGACTTCCTGCGGAAAGGGCTGTCTCCCATCTCATCTGGCTTATCGCTGGTGGCGAAGCTTGTGCCCCAGTATCGTGATCGAACGGCGATCAAGCCAGCGTTATAGCCATCGCTGACGATTTGAGCAGCATTGCCTGTCAGCTGTGTTTGCTCGACAAAAACACGACACCTTCCAGACGACACGACTCCCGCAATACTCGATTCGGCCATGGGGCAGATCGGCTGGCCGAGCAATGGAGAACTGGCACTGAGGACTAACTCGACGAACTCAGACTGTCCAGATGCAGCTTGGCTTGCGTGCATACTGCGGACTCGTATCCCGCGTTCTTGCTTCGACATCACCTCCACCACCCGGTCTCGGGGCAACGACAGGAGGAGCAGGTCACCGCCTTGAGCTGTCTCCTAAGTTGACAGTCTGCAGATCAAATCTGTATATTCTCTCTCTATCTATTCTCTGCGCGCCGAGGTGCCATTTTGACAAGGATGCCCCAGACATTTTTACTATCAGGACCACGGGTCAGTGTTGCGAACAGGCTGCACTTCCATAATATCTGGATCCCCCTCACAAGTAGCCTCAATGTCCAAGTTGAGAAAACGAACTTGGAAGCTGTGTTCGAGTTCATCGCTGGTGGATGCTTCGCTCGGAGGCAAAATCAACCTCGGACACCCACACAAATCGTTGCCACGCTGAAGTGCAGACGTGGGAAACGTGACAAAACATCCAGCTGATGCCAGGAGACTCTTTAGGCTCCGCCGAACCGAGGGTTAAATGCAATGGGGAAGGTGCTTTGTCAGCCGGCCTGAGACCATACCGAACATCGGTGCTCATCTCAGAGGCCACAGAGAGGCGTTCAGGGCCAACCAATTAGATGCGACGTGTAAACCCTTGCCTAGCTCTTGCCCGGTCCCACTCCCAAGACGGTGTGGCACAAACTAAATGCATTACAAAAGCGAAACAAATGATGTCCTGCGCATGCGTGTGAGCGTGGTGCAAGCGCGAAAGAAACTGTATCATGAAGAGGGCGCTGGAGCTCCCCTACGATCCTCTGACCTTTGTTTTGCTCCCGCGTGGCAGTCCTGAGGGTCTACATGGCAGGTGTTCCATCCCCTTACATGCAGGTGTCGGCATCTTAAACTTCAGCACTCTAAGCAGTAAGACCTGAGTTGTAGAATCCCAAGTTTGGTGCGGCTGAAGCAGCCTTGCACAGTCCACATATGCATCACACCTATCAAAGCCATGTCGTCCCCGTTCCAGCTGACCCTACAGAGCCCAGTGGGTTCTCAAAGAAGCTTTTCTAGGACCTTTGATCCTCGAAGAGCCCTACGCCTGAGCTCCCCGTTCCCTATCGAGGCTTTAAACAAATGGCAACAGCTCCCGACTCTGACAGACGACAAGCCACAAGCCTCGCCGACTGCGGATCACATCTGTCGCATGCTTGCTGACACAAAGGACACGATTGGGGAAATGCATGCGTGCAGGCAAGTTGCATCCGACGCCGGATCTTCAACAAGCTACTGGGTGGCAGTCCCATAGAGATGAGTACATCCACTGCTGGCCGGCCCACCCACGGCGAGTCCTGCAGTCTGCGAGCTTCAGGGACCAAGATCAACTATGGAAGGAGGTTTATTTCAAAAGCCTTTGTGGGAGTTTGGCGGGTCTTGGCCTCTGCAATATCCAAAGCAGTGACCAAATTGTCACCATGCTCTCGCACTTCTCGGAAGAGGCCGCCCTTGTTGTCGGGCAGAACCAAAGGACCGAGAAGGATAATTAAGGTGAAGCTCAGGATGCCCATCGGCAGTCCAACGATGGCGGGTTCGAAAAAACCAAAAGGCTTGTAGCCCTCCTTCTCCAGCAAGCCGTTCACCAGCAGATTTGTACTTGTCCCGATGGTTGTCAACATGCCACCCATGATTGCCGAGTAGCTGAGTGGAATAAGAAAAGTAGAAGGTGCTCGCTGATGTGTTCGTGCCCAGTCTCGGACAATCGGCATGAAAAGGACAACCAATGGGGTGTTGTTGCAGAATCCAGACAGCGCGAATACCAGGAAGCAGATCCGAAGCAAAACCACCCTGTCTGAAATCTGCGCTCCCAAGATCCGACGGGCCGCGTAGTCCACGACCCTCGACTTGTCGACTGCCTGCATCACGATGAAGAGAGCACCGATCGAAATCAGCCCGGTGTTCGAGAAACCATCAAGAGCATCTGTCGTCGAGACAATGCCCATATTCCACAAAACGACCAGGGTCCCCATCATGATCTGTTCCGGAGAACCGACCTCTAGGAACAGCAGGACCAGAGTCACCAGGATCATCGCCAGGACCGTCCACGCTTGCCACGTCATCACCTCGTGCTCGTTCATCTTAGTCCAGTCCGAGGGAGCGAAAACAGTGACTAACGGCTTTCTTCGGCCGTGCCCTGCTACGCTATTTCCTCTTGTCGGACCCTCGAGCCGTGCGGCTTCCTCTCATGAAGGCATATCTTATCATCGCATTGTGAGGAGGGACGAAAGCAGGGAGCACGGAACAAACTCTGCAGGCACTTCTCCAGTCGGGAGTTTGCCTTGTCTGCAACACTGGCTCGAAAGTTCGAAAGCTTCGGGTGGGACTGGGCGTGCGGAGCCGAAGTGCAGCCTGCGAGATGCCAGCGCCCATCAAAAAGATCAGACTTTCCCACCAGCATGCGAGCTCCGATATGGGTTCGGCCCTACCGCCTTGGCACGTGCAGGACTGCTGCGCCGAACTTCGCCTTGCAGTGGGCGGGCTACATTGTTCCGGAGGCTGCCACGTAAAGTGCTGTGGCGCTACTCGCTGTCCGGTGAAGATTCGTGCCGACGTGTCTCCACCTTTGCTTGTGCATGTGGCCAAGTTGCTGCTGATCGCGTCTTCAGCGACACCGATTGGCACTTCCTGCTGAAGAGCAATCTCAAAAGCGAGGCATGTGCCAGCTGACCGTGCCTGCAGGTTCTGAGACACCCGACCGATCACATTAGCCTTGGCTCGTGCCCGGCTCATGGCTCCCACGTGAAGTGGCAGGCTTGCCATCTGCGGTAGCCGGACTACAAAGTCTTTGCAAGCAGCAACTGTTCTCCTCGCCAGCAGCACGAGTTCGTCATTCCATCGTGAAGCTGGAGGTGTGCGGGAAGCAAAGGTAACGGCCTGCTCGCCTGCAGGCTTGCAGCACCCATGATGCTACCCGGGATACTGCGAAAACTAAGGGAACTTGTGACTTGTTGCAACACTGGAACAATCAAAGGTTGCGCACTCAGTCCGAAGAGGGCCTCCAGAGACCCATGTATCCAGAGGCATCCATGTGCTTGTGGCGTACAGGATCTAGCGGTTGCAGTATCAAGGCTTGTGAGCGCCTGCAGCCTGGTGCAGTACTACATGGCATCAACTCTGGCGTGCTACCTGAAAGGCGAAATCCAAGGTCAATTAGGATAACTGGAAACTACGTGAACATGCTAGCTGGTCCACATGTTTCGGAAAGGTGGTCGAAGCCTTCGTGCTGCAAGTTGTGTCTCACGCAAACCCTGTCACTGTCACCAGCATAACACAGGAATGATGGCTGTCTTCGCGACGTTTCGGTCTCTTGCGCATCCATGGTCTGGACATATCTAGAGCTCGACGGCGCTGAACCAGAATACGTCAACAATCCAGTAGCAGAGATCAGACACTGCGCCTTGACCGTCATGGAGTCACTTGGGAAGACGTCTTGACCAAGCCCGACACACGCCGACCGATTGGGTACGGTGCTTCTCGATGCCGAGCGAGCTGTGTAAGCATGTCTGCATTTCCAGCCTCCCACCATCCGAGTTTGACATTCCTGGAAGCTGATTCGCTCGATCAGGTGCTCGCACGACTGGCGAGGAGGAGGGTCTCGGCTTCAGGCGACAAGAAGTAGGACCTTGTAATGCAGGGCCGCGCGGAGAAGGAATCTGAGTGCTTCCGTATCTACTACTGTCGCTTCTGCCAGAGGAAGAGTAGACCAGGACTCTGGCCACAAATCCGCACAGCGTACAAAAGTCTTGCCAGCAACCTCCTTCCGCTGCAATTGGCGGAAAGTGCTGCCATGCGCCAAGCAAATTGGAGCACGCTGCCTGGAAGCCTCGCCAGGCAGCACACTGAGACTTGTTCGGTCATCTCAGTTCGGCTAGGCCGCAAGCCCAAATGTAAGCTCGTTTCGCCGCTGACTGCTGAGCTCCGTGCCCATTTGTCAGCCTGCCATGGTTTCAACTTTCCATTGAAATGAAGCAGCTTGGCATCAGCCGAGCATGACCTTAGAGCTGCAGATGCGATGGACCCACTCCGCCGAGCAACATGCATTCTGGCAATACACAGCCCCATGAAACATTGGGCACCCAGCGCAAGGTAAGGCTGCACCTGATCCCCTGAAGGGCGCAATCCAGCCTCGGGAATATTTCTAGTACTGCAGGTCACGACACCCATCAGCCCGGCCTTCTGCAGCGCCTTGAAATCCATTTTCAAGTCGGCCTTCAACTCCTTGAGCTCCTGCTGCAGAGACACGAATAAAATATTGTTTGCCTTGAGTTTGCTCTGTCTGCTATAGACATGGAGGACGATGGAGTCGCCTTCTGAGACAATGTTTCCCGGCCAAGACCGCGACAGTTCCATGTCTCGCCTGAGCACGTTAGGTTGTGCAGCTTCCAGAACTTCCTTCCAGTTGTTTCATCCAAGACCAAGGCTGAGATGGCTGTATCTGTCGTGCAGAGCAAGAAGCCAGGGGGGCTGAGAGAGCCCGAACTTGTATAAGTCCTCCAGGATACAAGTTGGGGAAAAGTTCTGGCACCAGAATTATGCTTGACCCAAGCTTGGGCACCAACACAAACAGCAGGCGCACGGAACCCAGATCAGAATCACCGAAAGCTGGACAGCTGCTCGGGGCCAAGGCAGGCTTTCAGCACACGCGGCATGTCTGTGCCGAAACCTACTCTTCAGCTTCTGACATGAGGCGAGGATGGCACAAAAAAGTGCGTCAGTCGCAGAACAAAGTTTCTATCAGATTCTCCTCCGTGCTCCGCGCGGTTCCAAAACTCGAGAGCTGATCTTTCTCTTGAGCTGCTGTCGCTTTATTCCATGAATGTGCTCCTCCTCCGAAATTCGAAAACTCTGCTCTGCTCCCTCTCTCTCTCTCTCTCTCCCGGGGTCTTTCTTCGCTTCGCGGTATCGCGCCATCCAGCGCTCAATCTCCCGGGTGATCTGCAGCTTCTTCCACCTTCGAACGTCCATGACGAACACGCCACGGTTGAAGACGCATTCCGCCGGTTCCAAGCCTCTGGCTTTTACAAAACCAGACGCATTCCGCCAAAAGCTTCGCCCAAATCTGAGAACATCACCGGGGCGCTTAAGGCCGAGGGTGGACAACTCCTGGGGCACCAAAAAATCCGATGCTGGCGCGGACATCACAGCAAAAGCACAGCCAGGTTGACCTAACTCCCGGTGACCCGCATCTTGGCGGCCAAAGGTCGTCGAAGTCTATGTACAAATCCTGAGTTCAATGTCCCCTCAAGGAAATCACAGAGCCAGCAGCCGCCTCAACATTACACGAGGTCACGGTCTTTTTTGATTCAGTTTGCAGCCAGGAAGCGAAGTGTTGCGAGCAGTCCTCCACTGCTGCCACTGGGTGGCCTTCCATGTCGAGCTTTGCGAGCAAGGCCACATCACCTTGTAGGACAACGTCCGAATCCATGTACACCAGCCTGCGATCACATGAAGGAAGAGTTCGGGCGTGCCACATGATGCCAGTAAGGCCTGCCTGCTTGGCACTTCCGACCCCTTTGCAGCCAGAAACTCCTGCTTTTTCTGCTAAAGGCATTAGGTTTGCTTCAGTCGATTCGTGCTTCGTGACTGTGGCAGCCGTCCTCCAAATAGAAGGGGGCAAAGTTGAAGGGGCTTGCCAAGCCTTTTCTGGCCCCCGAGCTTTTGCGATAGCTGATCAAGCCTCGCGGAAAACGACGCTGACTGACAGCGAAAGACTGGGAGAGCAGGCTCGTGAGGTCTGAACTGCCAAATCATCAAGTCAAGGGGCTCTTGATGTGTGCTTGCAGAGTTGCGTTGCTGTGCATCACAAGCTGTGCTTGCAATGGCGGCATAATTTCCCTCAGCGTCCGTGCAACGGCCGAAACCTTGTCTTCCGCCGTGACCACGTGAAAAAGGAGCTGCTCGGATCCTTTGGGGCTGGGGCTGACAGGTTCGCGCAGCTCTCTGTCAGGATTGAAGGGCACGGCACGGACTGTGCCTCTGCGTTTGAGCCGCATCTTCAAGTCCATCTACCCAGATGCTGGAATAAGAGTCTATGCTTTACACCCCACCTGTATCTCGACGCCATAACCGGATCCGAAGCTGAGCCACAGTAGGTTTCTCTGTAACTTTAGCATCGCTTTGCGAAGCTCGTATGTGCGGCTGGTTTAGCACTGCTACACTTTCTACATTGCGAAAGCCCAACTTTCGTATTCACGTCCAATGTATAAAGAAGGCGCCGGCTTTGATTTTTATGATTCGGAATTCATCGTTTTTCACTTCTTCATGCAAAGTCCCACAACCAGAAGAAATCGTCAATGTCTACTTTTCTATAAGTCTATTCCGAAACACATTTGTTTTTGAAGGAAGGCTCTTCTGATATGCTTGCCCTTCCAACCCCAAGCTCATCTCAGGGACCTGAAGGCAAAGGCAGAACTCCGGTACCACAGCTTTCAGTGTTCAGAGATCGAATCACTTTCAATTCAAACAACGTGGTCATCATGCATACGTTGGAAGAGGCGATGCACCTCCTCGTAAATCAAGGTTCCTACGTACGACCAGGGCTGCAATTCCTGAACGTTCAACAACTAGCTGGAGAGTCCCGCGCTGCATCTGAACGAAGTCATGGGTCGGCTCGCGTGCTGCATCGTGGAGTTAATCGCCACTGCCAAAGGCCGCAAGTCAGCATCATCGCTGCAGAAGCAGATGTGGACTCCTTTGCTGTTCTCTTCGGGCACGTACAGCACCCTCCGCGCATCGGGTAGCCAGTTACAACACACATTCGTTCTAAGTCTCTTGTCATGTTGCCCTTGGCTTGAAGTGCCAGGCGCTGACTGTGTCGCACCGCAGGGAACTCGTTCGAGCTGAAGGGTAAAGAGTTCAGGGAAACTAGTGTACTCCGAACCGACAAAGGCTGAACGCCGAGGAGCGATCCAATGTGCTCGTATCGCCAACCTTAATCGGTTCAGCTTGAGCCGTCGGGACAGCTGTGCTCACCTGACGCAAAGACGTCTCGGGCCCATCTTCAGCTGGGAGAAACGCGGCCAAGGCAGGCGACGTTGTCGGAGGCATCCATGCACCCGAACCCAGTCTGAGGCCGGCATCTTTTGCAGGATAGCTCCGGTTGGCCGCTTCAGAGTGCATGGTGGGCTCTGCGATGGACGCGAGTTGAAGTGAGCTTCGATCTAGCATGCCAACCTCACTTTGAAGTTCGAAGCACGATTACAACGAGAAAGGCGTGCAGAAAGTCAGCCGCACCGAGACACCGACCGTGTGACTACAGGTCACCAGTGCCATAAGCACCAGAGCGAGGAAACCAGCAAATCTGATGAGGAGGAGTTGCAATCTGCGTGGCTGAGCTTTTGCCCTTGCCATGGGACGCCGCACTGCCGATGCAGCTTTCTGGCCGCAACAACACCATCGGTGCAGCTGTCGGACTGCCGTCTAAGGAACACAGACCCATCGGCAACACACGATCCCTCTCTCACTCTCTCTGCGTGTTGTGTACCTCTCAATTCGATTAAAGTCTGTCTTGCGCTGACTGACTGCTGAGAAGAAAGGCTCTGACTTCACCGCAGAATTCGCCAGCCCCTGCATGCTGTCATGGCAGAACTGTTTGATGGCAACCTTTTCAGACGCAGGGCTTGCTTCTTTGCTGGAGCTTGTGCATGCGGTCGCCCTTTTGAGCGACTCTGCATGAGACACCGCGCACGCTCTCTAGTCTAGAGCTGAAGAAAATGTACGAGACCTCCGCCTGTGTACTTAAACTCAAATAAGTCTGGCATGTCATGGGCACTCCCCCTAGCATTATCGCAAAAGCGATCGGCCTGTGGAAAGCGATGTAGCATGCTTAGTGAGAGTTACTCCTTTCCAGGCCTTGTAGTGCACAGGTTCGGTGCGAGGTCCGTACAGAACACACGTGTTGACTGTGCCGCACAACAGATTCTTAGTAAAGAAACTTGGAATCGAAGCATGAGGACTGCTGCTCTTGAAACCGCACGGATTTCTAAATCACCACCATGCAACACGGAACTCTGCACTTTCAATCTCGAAAGGGGACCTTGCCAAAGAGCTCCGCATCTGTCTCAACCCCTCTGCTCCCAACACGAGGTGGGAAGATGCACTTGCAGTTCGACTTTTGCAGGACTTCGACATTTTGGCTTGCCTGTGCAATGGAACTGGTACATGCAAGCGCACACAGATAAAGCTGCCGATGTTCGGCATGGCCCGCTGGAAATGTGCTGGTACCGAGAAGAAAGATGACGGTAAAAAGCATTTATCCTACAGGCGAGTTGGCCACAACGGCTCCTTGGTATGCTTGCAACATTTCTGATTGTGAACGGGACGGGTTGTCGTTTCAGCAAAATTCCAGGGCAAGCTGCTTCATTCTCTTGGAAGCTGTCGTTGCCATCAGCAGTCGCGGTAGCTGCTCCAACGACCTGAAGCTGTAGCTTGGCAGCGCGGGTGAGTCCGTCAGAACCCGCAGAGTCCGAATTGGTACGCCGGTCACTTTCTCTGAGAAAACGTGTAGTTCGGTACGTTCTGTGCTCTTGCACGAGTGAATCTCCTTTCAACACCGTCATGGGCTTGGATTCGGACAGCTCGAGCGTGGGACTTGCAAGTGACATGACACTTATGAGCAGTTGGGGGCCAATCATGTTACCAGGAAAAGCATGCATGCAAAGATTGCCGGTAATTGCTCCGCGACTGGACAACTGATGCTTGCCGACGTGACGACGAGTAAGGCCCGGACCCGCAAACCCCTCCCAGCACTTGCGCTCAGGGCTCAAAGCAGCGTGCAATGGCACCTTGAGCGAGCTTTACGCCGCCAGTCAAGCGAGTATAACCTCTGACCTATCCACACCTTGCTTGTGCCAGCAAGCACGGTTTGTGCAGTCTTGGCCCTGTGCTGCGTTGTAGACTTGGACGAATTTTCGGTTGTAGTCGCGGACTTCTCCGCTGTGATGTCCTTCTGGACCTCAGCATTCAGCACCACTTGTTACACGTCCAAGAAACTTACATGTTTCTGCTCTGAGCAGGGTGCGGCCATAACATGGACGGGGGTTGGGCCGTTCTTGCCTTGCACTACTTTCAAGTTCACTAGCTGCAGTCAGCGAGGGCGACAGCAGTATCAGAAACAAGCATAGCTGGGTGCTGCGCTCAGCAAAATATTGGCATCCTTCAAGCTCTTGACGTCGTCGGTGCCTTTGCCCCCGAGCTCCTTGCCTAGCCAATCCAGGACGCGGTACAAATTTGAAGATGCACCTTTGACATTAACTAGCATCTGCACTTGGCTTCGGAACCCAATGGCCTGCCGCAAAAAGCCGAATCCTGCAAAAACGAAGCAGTATCCACACCGGTGGCTTTGCAGCTCACGGCGTCCTGTCGACTTGCGTGGCTGGAATCAAGTTTGGGCTTGTTGGCCAGTGCCTGAAGCAGATGAACACTTCAAAATGTCAAGATCTGAGGGAAAGAAAGGGAGCCTCTGTAGGATCAGCCGCTTCACCTCCTTGACCTGGTGCTAACAGAAGTACTGAGTTGTTCAAGCAAGCAAATGCTACAGGTTAATAACAGGCTCAAGCGACATGACGTCGAGAATCTTACTGGCCCTCTGTACTATCCCAGTTCGGCAGAGATCCCGGCACTTGTATTCAGCGCCACAGCAAAAGTGGCCGAGTTGTGGTCCTTGGCAAGCATTCAGGAAACAAGAACTATGCAGAAGGGACAACAATATGGGCCAGGCGTTCGCAAACACCAACTTGAGCTCAACCTCCTGCAGGAAGCTCAATGTCAGCGCTTCTTTCAGAGCACCGAAAAGTCTGAGACCCAGGATCATGCTTCGTGTCTCCTCTGGCATTGCTCAGGGCGTGTGCTCTGGAGCCTGTAATGGTAGCGAAGCAAAGCAGAAACTCGGTGTCGGAACTCAGACCGGCAATCCACCGCATGACAAAAACGGCACCGTCTTGCCAGCGACCAAGCTGAGGCAGCAGCCCTCTTTGCATGCCCAAGGCCTGGGCAAAGTCTTCACTGCTCGAGCACAAAATTGAAGCATGCGAGGGTGTGTCGTCCTGTTCTTGTTGAAGACAATGTGTCTCTGGCACTTGGATTTGTGAGGTCTCTCCTGCACCGACGGCACCAAATCGTCTAGCTGCTGCTGAGCCACTCCGAGATGCCCGGTGCTTCACCGGCTTTTCATTGAGCTGTTTCAGCTCTCGGGGTGGACAACTTCCATGAGGCTCCGCACAAGAACAACTCCCAACAAGTGTCGGCTCTGCAGCCGAGCTGGCTTTGCAACAGCGGCTTTCGTCGCTCTTCTTTTCTCGCTGTTTGCACTTTGCACGGTTAGCTTGAGGCCGGCTGCTGCCCACATTTCCCCAAGAAGCTTTAAGCTTCGGAGCAGGGGCGAGCGCAACTAGAACTACCTAAAGCAGTCTGTGACCTCTGGCCTGGATCGCCGCTACAGGGCTTGGCTGGGTGAAGATCTTAGGTGATAAGAAAACCTTGGGAACACAGGCTTCGTTTCTCTGTTTGCCACACTCTTATGTACACGGCTGTGACACCGAAGGGTTTACTCCCTTCTCGCGAAACCGTGCAATCCCTGGCGAAGAGTGGTCTGCAGCTCTGTGGCCCATTCACACTGGCATAGTAGTTCATGTCCGTTCGCTGCAGCCCAAAAGCTTTCAATCGGGTTTATTTATCTCAAACCAAGCGTTCATCCCTTGGAGCAGTTTCTCAAAGGGCACGCTGTACTCGCTGTCGTCTCCCCAGACCGAATGAATCATTTGGAACTTCCTTGGTCAACGCACGGCTCTCCGCGGGCTGTACTTGCAGATGTAAGGAAGCTCACACAAGGCCCGGACCTCTCACAGACTGTAAAACTCCTAGGAGCTGGTTTGTCGTACCAAATTCGGTGCAACGACAAAGTCTGATCTCTCTTGCAGTGCCTGAAGTTGCGGTCAAGGCCGTGGCAGAAGTGACTTTCAACGTAGCTTCGTGGCACACTGGCATGGCAGTCCACATCGGATCGTGGAAGCTGCCGCTGCATGTACTTTGCCCATCTCTCGGCTGGCGTTCCGATGCGTTCTGTATCTGCTTGCTTGCATGGGGTATGGGGCACCGACAGACCCGAAGGCCTAGCCCCTCTCGGTCCGCGTTAGTTCGTCTGCGTGGCCCCTGTTCCGCGCGGAAGGAGGTGTTCCCCGCAATGCACAAATAGGAGTTCCGTATCTCTCTCCCCCTACCGTTGCATCCAAAAAGTCTAATCGTTCCGTAAGACAGCAGTGAGTTGAAATGCTTACTGGCAATGAGCTCTTTGAGGCCTATGCCTTGTCGCCTCCTCTTGTACCCTGACCTTTGCAACTTGTGAAGTGTTGAGTGCGAGAGACACCGATGTAGCATCAATGTGGCGTTTTACCGTCACGACGCTGAAGGCGACAATCCCGTCTTGCTGCCGGACTGCGAATCGACAATGATGAGAGGCAAGTTGTACTCTTCAATATTGTCGCGTGCCTCCTTGTCTGCGGAGCAAGTTTGGAAATATGAACGGCAAACAGACTGTGAGCTTCTGCACTCCTCCACAGACTCAAATTGGTCGCCATATGCTTCTCCGTCAACATTGGTTGCAATGATGAAGAATGGAGCTTTGTGCTCGTCGTCCCCCTGGAAGCTGGAAGATCGAGGGAAACACAGGAATGCAGCCTTTGCGTAGTTGTCAGAGTTGAGAACAGCCTAGAGTTTCCTGCCTGATAGAAGTTGCTCCAGAAGTGCTCGTACATTTCTCGCATAACCTCACCTGCACCGACGTTTTTCAGTACGCGTCTATTCTTATCTGTGCAGCTAGCTTTGTGGAATCCATGCCTCGGGTTCCGTAATATCTTAGCTCATTGAACCTCCCGTTGACCAGGATCGTTGCATAGTCCCCGCCATCCAGCATGTCGAAGCGCTCGTTTGCTTCATCCAGGTCGTTGAAAGCTTCGGCTTTCACATCTCCCCACCCCTCGTGCCATAAGACCACGAAGGTCTCGTCACTGTCTGCAACCTATCCGCAAGTATCGGCAGTGCAAGCGGATCTGGAAACTTCAAGGAGCCACCGAGGCCGCTGCAGGAGCCTCTTCACGGACAGACGCGGCCTCTGACGCGTCCTTAGAAACCGCCTCGGATACCGCATCGTCGTCTTCGGCAGGCTCGCTTTTGCGCTCATCGCCGCCATCGTTGCCCGGCAGAGGAAGGTCTCCGGAGATTCCAGAGTGCTGTGAATTCGTTTCTGCTGCCTGCGCGAAGGCACGCAGTAACTATGACGTCGACGAATGACGCCCAACGACGTAGGTACCATCGTACCTGCCTGCTCGGCGTCCAGATCCTCTTGTGCAAAAAGA